CAGCATCTCCACGGTCTTCTCTGTGCTGATAAAGAGCTTGTGAGCATCACACCTGGTCACACACTCATCTGCACGGCTGGGGCTTCTCAGATGTTTTGTTAGCAGACCATGCATTTGTAATTTTACACCGGCTGCCTATAAACTCAAGAGCTGTGGACAGAATGGAAGCCAGTAAACAGGAGCGACCCAGAAGTTATTTTTCTACTCTTAAAAAGCCGAAGCATCTTTTAGTTTTACTCTAATACAGTGTGCGATATGTGTGTGTGTGAGGGGGGGGGGAGCGAGCTGAATGGGGATAATTTTTTCACTTTTTATTTATGAAAATTACAACATGGTTTTGTATGCTGATTGCACGGTATTTTGTTTATAGGAGTCCTCAAAAAACTGACAGAGTTAAAGAAAACATAAAAAAGGAGTTATGTGGACATCTTTTTTCATCTTTGTGCGCATGCACGAGTGGCTGGGTGGCAAAAACAGACACGGACTGCAATCAATATGCGACTTGCACTACTAAGAAAGTTTACACACACACAACCCTGATATATAAACACTTTACTATCCAAAGACAGGAGGTCGTTAAGAGAGAAATGTATAGAAGACAAAATTAAAGTTATTAAAGCCTGTATGAGCTCTGGGATGACGGAAAACTTCAGTCCGATTCGCCTCGTCTCTTTTTACCCTCTCCTCTTGTCTGAGCTGACGGGAGCTGACGGTGCTGTATGCGTGACGCGCTTCACATTAGTGATGCGCCTTTTGCGCAGAGAGATTGCGTCTGTGGCGCTGCGCCGGGAAGACGTGACAGCGGGAGCGTGCACAACAGCAGGTGAAGCGCATCAATAATCTGACGTCCTCCTCCTCTGCATATACGGGTAGCAGATGCAGAGGAGGCGTCTTTCCACATTAATGAAGCTGGACCTGTGGATCGAGGCGCGTCCGAGGGACTGAATAACACGTTTGGAGACAGTCTACTGGTGGAAGTGGAGTGTTTGTGTGTGTGACCCCGACGTAGCTGCACGGCTGCAGCTTCCTAATGCACAAAGTGAGCCTGGTCGGGAGGGGGGGGACTGTGGATGGCTGGTATTTACTTGGAGACGGGCTGATGGTTTTATTTAGAAATCTGAGATTTCAACTAATAAATTACCGGAAAAACTACCGGTAGTCATCATACCCTGAAAAAAAGTCCTGGTATTAAAGCACTGGATGTCACAAAAGATCCTCCTATAGAAAGAAACAAAACAAAAACGTACCCCCTCCCCCTAAGGATAAAAGTTTAATCACCAGAGGGAGGGACATCAAAAGCAGAGGGGGGGTGGGAATCCCCCCCATCGCCCCACCACCAAATTGCACCCTGCTCTAATATTGGGTACAGAAGGCTAGAAGCTAACGTTGAGCTACCAGTGCTAACAGAGAATTATAAACAATGGCTACAAAATATCTCAAGCTACTAGTTCAGTTACCAACAACTCGATAATACAGTGAAATGTGTTTATCTACTTGTGAACTTGGTGTATGACTCGACTTCGCTTGTCGTCTAGAATCTTCTGGCGCTGATCCGTAGCTGGCAACCGCCCCATCAGGGGATCTCTGGAGCTCTTTTAGTGGACGAATGTTACGGCCCTGTTGTTCCACGGAACGTTTTAGAAACTTCTCTTCCTGCTGCAGCGCGTTTTACGAGCATTTTGTATGACCTTCTATTGGATGTTTTTATCATGGTTGTGGTTTAGAGTCCAGTGAATGTGATTTATTTATTTTGTCTGTTTCGCCCTTGGGGATTAATAAAGCCAACGTTAACCTAACATGAACTCATGAGCCCTTTTCAGATAGACATTCTGGAATATGTGTGGACGATTCAGTCCAGTTTTTAACCAGAACTGTGTTTTCAGACACACCACTTTTGTACCTGAACTTGTCCTTTCGGCTGCCTTCACACAGCAGGGAAAAGTTCCAGATGTCTGAGGGGGAGGGGGTGGGAAGGCTGTACCCGGATATTGCGTGAACATATTGCGGCGGGCGTACATGCGTCATTTACCCAAACAAAGCCATTCAGTCAAACATGGCAGACGAAGCGACAGAATTCCTCTCACTGATCGGACTTTTGTTAAGCATAATTCTGCGCACACGAAGACCCATAAGAGACCTGGATGATGAAGCTCAATGGTTAAAGGAATCACGGAAGCGGTGTGAAGCGCTCCGTCGCGCGTCTAGGAGACGGTACCGTAGGAGGCGAGCTGCCATGGTTCGCCGTATGCTACAGGAGCGAGCTAGGTGCACACAGCGTCCCCCGGTCCCCTCCTCCTTGTCCGGATCTCGACCTCACCAGTCTGAAGCAGCCACCCTGTCCGTGACAAGTCCGGTCCTGTTGCTAAGGGCTTCGTCCGGTTTAATTACGGGAAAGGTTATCCGGACGTTTGTATTCAGACACAAAGGTCTTAAGGACAGAGTCCCGGACATTTCCGTTTTTCATGGCCTGTCTGAAGGGGGCTACGAAGGGGAGGGGCGAGTCACTTGGAGCAGACATGTTTTGATACTCAAATTTGACCACTAAACAGTCTTTAGGAACGTAAATATATACTTTTAAAGGGACTTTTCAGACTTTTGAATTTTTATGCTCGCGATTGCCCCCTCAGGCCAAAAGCGTAGCGACAGCTTCAATAGTAGGCTCGTGCACGAGGCGCGCATGCTGTACGTGCACACTCCTTAACGAAAATAACAGCTGAGACAGTTGTGTGTGTGTGTGTGTGTGTGTGTGTGTGTGTGTGTGTGTGTGTGTGTGTGTGTGTGTGTGTGTGACAGAGGACAAGAGAACGTGCAGCTAATTAATTAATTTGGTTCTGTACCTTTCTCTTCAGCACAGCCGACAAAGGTTTATGATGGGTCAGTCCTCCTGCATGCTCAGATCATTCCCTTCCCTTGCTTGAAAAATTTTTCCCAAATGAAAGTTGAACCCACATCTTTTTTATCTGTGAATTCAATGCCGTTCGGCGAGTCTCAAATAAAAATTTGGGCATCTTATTACTGTAAAAAATATATCATTAATGTAGAAAAGAAACTCCAAATAAACTATGTTCACATCCGGAATCAAACCCGGGTCTTCTGCATGAGAGTCAGACATCCTGCAAGGTGAGCTACGCGCCAGTAACATTCGACGTATCTGTAACATTTATATCCTTGATGACACCTGAAACAACGTCAAAACAAAGAACGGTTCGGAGCGAAAATGGCTATTTTGTTGCTAATTTGCAGGAAATATCTAGAAGAAAGTTCTACAGAAAGTAGCTAAGGGTCCTCAGAATTGTAGCTAGCTTTGTCACTAGGCGGCACTACCTCTCTCTCTGCTGCTAAAGCTACGGATAGCAAACGCTACGGGCTATGCCTGAGCGTGGACGCGCATGAAGCAGCCTGCTCGACCCGAGCATCTCTCTTTTTCTGTGATTTTACAGAAAAACAGGCAATCACAGTAAAAATGCCAGGGCTCATTCTACAGGACCAGGGCATTGCAGGAGAAAGTATGAAGAAGAAATTTATTATTTCTATACATGTTTTGGTGTCAAACTTCCTTATCGTCCCTTTAAATAAACTTCAGCAGCAGCACCGGGCTCCCCGCAGATGTGCCCGACTGTAAATCAACCAATGGAAAAAAAAAGGTAAATTTCAGCCCGATAGACCTTCTGATTGATATAACGAGCCAGAGAATAAGTTACGCCTCTTGAATCTTTTGCTCATTATATTAAAAACTGACCGGGTCAAAGCCATGTTTCTGTTTGCAAATGTTAACAGTCTGTAACGGCCATCTTGAATAGGTTTTACTCCAAATGCTAGTCCCTTTATAAATATAAATCCAATGTTTACTTTCTGAAAGTTTCAGTTAGGGCTGGGCGACAGCAAGAAGGGTACAGCTTCTTAAAGGGACATGAACGTTGCCAACCTACACATCTTTTCATTTTTTTATTATCAGATTTACTGACATGTGAATAATTATCCCGACAAGAGTCAGAAGTTTCGATAACGATAAATTTTCGATATATTGCCCAGCCCTAGTTTCAGGCATTTGTGAGATATCCTGCTAACGCTACAGACAAACACGTTTTTGTAGGCAATAATACGTAATTGTTTCTAGTTTATTCATTACAATAGCAATAAAAATGATGTGTCTGAGTGTCAGAAATGATAAAAACCAAAACAAACCCCAAGGCAAAAAACAAAAAACAAAACAATCAATGAACTGTTAATGTTATGGAGAAATCCCCATCATAAAAATGTAAAGGCTCTTCTGTCAGTTGTGGTGAGAGAGGAAAAGAAAACTCTTGGAGTCGCTGAAGGTTGGAGACGCGGCGTAATGAGAAAAGCTTCAGGCGACGGTTTCCGTCTGGATCTCAGGAACATCCGTAGGTGAAGCTCACGAAGGACACCGCAGCTAAGAAAAGGAAAACAAATTTTTTTCTATATTCCGTTCATTTTTATTTGTTCATCTTGAATATGTTTTCAACAAACTGGGTTATGAAGAGTGATTTTTTTTTTCTATAGATTTTAGAAAGCCTGCAACTCGAGAGGCCTGATGATTCAAATTCAGGGCTGCAGCTGTAGTTTTGAAGCAATAAAAAGTTTTGTATGTGTTGCTTAGGCAGCCCAATTTTATGAAGAGATGCAATTATGATTATATTGCAGACTGATAACAACATCAGTAGCAATAAACCCTTATTTTCTTTCTTTTGCACACAACAATTTCCTTCTGCTTTAGCATTCTCTGTCACCTATCGCCGGGGCTGCAGGGGTCCGTCTGATTACCAAATGCATAATTAGGCCACATGTTGGAGCTATTTATTCATGGGATTTAGTTGTAGCTCTTATTTCAGTAATGATATTTTTTAAAATGGGTTAAATCGAACGTCTTTAGCACAGAACAGTTGTAAAACCTGGTAATTTAGGTAGAAGCGTGGCTCAATTGTTGTTCTCACCTTCCTGATTCATTCGGAAGCATTAGATGAATGAGTTTCCTCCCCAGCTGTTGTCTTTCTTTTTATTTTGGATTGAATCAGATCCAGATGTAGGGAGAAAGCAGAGAGATGAGATTTATGACCATCTGACTGGAGTTCAGAGACGTATCGCCTCTGCTCCTGAGATAACTGTGATTAATTGAACTGTCCTCCGCGTCGCTTCACCTGTGATCAGAATCAGCTCGGTAACAATCGGGTGACTAGGGGACTTGACCCTGCAGGGATCAGACGTGTCTGCTTGGTTTCTGTCTTACAGATTTTAGATTAGTAAAGCTGCCAGTTGTTTCTGTATAAAGTGATTCTCATACCTGGAAGTGGAGTTTTGGCTCCAGCGGCTTCCTGTGTTCTAATCTGTAGGTGAACTGGTCTGCAGGATGAAATGGTCGAAGAGGCTGATTTAGGTTCAGGCGAGGGTCGCACGTTAGTCGATGCACCAGATCCTGCTGCAAAATAAAAACCAGAACATAATTAATTTTTCTGTAATGAATTGATTTTGTCTGCAGACTCAACCAGCTGTGACCGCAGAGTTCATCGACCTCAGAAGACGACCAGATTGTGTCATTTCAATTGGAAATTGTCTCATTTTTCTACCTTTGTCTTTTCCATCTTTTCTTACCCAGAGGACGCCAGAGACGCAGATTCAGTTCCTCATAATCATACGAAGCTTCCAGACTCCGATCCCTTTTCTTCTATAAACGTCACCTCCTCTGTTTCCACACCGAGCCACAGCTCCTTCAGCACCACCTCCAGGCCTTCTGGTGAGTTCTGCTCATCCGCTCTTCATCTTTGTCCTCCCACTCTTCACTCCTGTGTCATGTCTCTTTTTGGATTTTCCTCATTTCCCTCTTTCATCACTTAGTTTCCATGATCTCTCTCTTTTTTGTGAGCTTGACAGGAATTGACTAAGCCTTAAAACAACGTTCAGGAAGTTTCCCCGCTTCTCCCTCCTGCTCTTACAGCTGCAAACAACCCCGAAGCAGCCTTCTGTAGCTAGCGCTAACAATGAGCTAACTGTAACATGCGCCAACTGACATTAAAATAAGCCATAAAGTAAAAAGATCCAAATTTGTATTACTTACAAGTCCAGTAGCAACAAAGCCACCATCAGTCCATGACTTTGTAGCCTCCGTTAGCTCCCAGGCTGATGGTTACTCTGGTTTTAAATCCAATCAATCAATCAATCAATACTTTATTAATCCCAGAGTCCACCAATCGGGGGGGGGGGGGGTTCACAGCATCTGTCTGCAGTCCTTCGTGGGGGTTTTAGTTGCTTGCAGCTCAAGGCTAACAGGGCGTCAGATTCAGATAACAAGAATTTGTTTGGGTCAGGCTGAGATCATTTTCCTCTCTGCCTTCAGTCTTTAAACTGATCATTCCAGTCCTTCAGTGAAACCAATTTTGGGTTTTTAAACCTGTCCATACCGTCCAGTGACTCTCTCTGAGATGACATCCATTTTGCGCACTAATACCGGTATCGCAGCTAGAACATTGTCCAGCTTACGATTCACCTCGAGTAGCGTCCCAGTCTGTGAAGTCTCCACACACACACTCGTGCTTTCCGTGGGTGCGGGTCGCCCTCCAATCGCTCCAGTCTTCCCAAATTTCCAGAAAACCAGACATCCTCCCACTCCAATCAGGAGAAATCCAGTGATCATCAGGCCGAATATCCACACGTCTTCGATATCCTCCATGGACAGTTGGCTGAGGCATATGATCTTCCACTCCTTCCAGGAATCCAGCATATACCCCACTGGGTGTGTCCCCTGTGGACATGTGGGAGCCCCCTGCTCCGTTCTCATTGTTGAAAAAATCTTATTGATCGCGTTGAATGACCAGTTTATCCATGGTTAGTAAAAATAGTTTTTCAGAAGAAATGCAGAGAGGCGCTCTGTGGGCAGACAGGACAAAGAGCCTTGGGGAAAAAAAGATAAGGGAGTGAAAGATGGAAGTGTCTGTACCCCTTGAGTGCCTTGTGAAGAAAAAACAACCTCCAAAGACCTTTTCACTTATTTTTACTTCAAAACTCCACCATGATGCCAACAAAAAAGCTACATTCTTCTTCGACAGTGCCATCAAGTTGCTCAAACTTATGGCCCAAGAACCACTGAAACCAGTTTGAAAGCAGTAGCTTCAAGTGCTAAAAACTCTTTAGTGTTGCTTTATATTCTTAGTCAAACAAATCTTGCTTTTTTAATTGACTTATTGCAGCTTTAAACAGTTTTCTCTCGGATTGATACAATCCAGGTTTTCCTCCCCTCGTCCTCTTTTTGGTTCTTCATCACCTCTCTTCTCACACATTCCTTCTTTGTTCATCCTTCACTCCTCCAGATCCCTTTCCCGCCACCATCACGATGGACACCACTGGTAACTGGACTCTGTCAGGTGAGAGAGCAACAAACAAAGTTACAGTAAAAGCGTGAGAGCCGTCTGAGCTGGCCCTCCTCCAGGATCTTAAAACCGTCCCCATGTTCAGTAGACGCTTTGCAGTGTAATGGAGGCGGGATTAGAGGGACGGGATTTGGCTCCGGGTTCTGTCCCCAGAGTTTGGAGATAAACAGCTTGAGGAAACAACTCTAAACAGAGCTATAGTGAATTATATCTATGTACAATAACATCTTGGCTTCCTGCGGTCTCACAAACGGCATGTTTTGTTGGCGAGCTGGCTCTAGTCTACGCAGCTAAACAATAACAGGATTTAAAAATTAAAATAAAAGCTGGAGTGGTTTTCTGTGGCGTGTAGGCTGCTTCGTACTCACTGGATGTGGTTGGATGGCGCTGTCTGGTTTATTTATTATCCGTGTTGTGTTTAACTGACAGAAACAGAGAGACAAACAAAGGAATTGGGTTTCGTTCTGACATTTTAATGCATAAAACATCAGCTGGTGGATGTGTCTGTATGGACGCAGGTGCCTATATGTTGCACACACACACGTACATCCCCAACGGTCATGTTTTCCACGGTTCTCACTAAACAAGTCTGAGGAAAGTTCTCCATCCCTCCTGCGAACAAACCACATGTGACCTTGGCAGGTGGAAAAGTACAGGATGATTCTGTTTAACGCTCGACTACAAAGCAACAGAGAAGCAAAATCACGTTGAAATGCTGTTTCCAAAGCAGCAGGGGATGAGAGGCTCTGGGGTTTCTGCATACTAATTACACACTCACACAGACAATCAGATGTTGAGTAATTCTGCTGAAACCGTGTTGGTGTGTGACCCCAGCGGCGACTCTAAAAAAGAGCTAATGTTCACAAGCTCCACGGTGCATTTGCTCACTCCAGTCGGCGCTTGTTTATCCGCACGCCGAACCAAGCCCCTGTGCTGCTGAACTAAACCAGTGTGGGAACTTTCTGGAAAGACGAAGAATATTTTTCAACTCATTAAATTCACCCTAGTTGAATTTATAGAAAAAACAAACGAGTGGAATGAAATAAAAATTCACACTTTCTTGTCTTTTTTTTTTTTTTTTTTTTTGAAGATGAGAATGTAATCAAAATGTGTGTGGAGCCAAGAGTTCAGGTGTTTCTGTTAAAGATGAACTTTCTGGTTAATGTTTATGAAGGTTTCACTGTTTCTTCCCTTTGTGAATGAATAAAGATGGAGAACAGAAGTAGGAAAACGCTATTCAAAACCATGCAGCTACACTGCAAAAACGAATTCCTTAAAAAAGCCACGTTTGTATACATTTCATCTTATTTTTGGTCTAATGGGCTCGACACACGGGAGGCGACATCGCCTCTCCTCCATTCATTTTCAATGAGACATGCGCGACAAAGCGATAATCGCGGGTCTCCCTCCTACCGAGCGAAATGCGAAAAACGTGCGTGTGAAATTTTGCGCTCGTGCACGTGTCGTGCACAGGCGACCCAGCGACGCGATCCCAGAAAGTTGAAACATTTTCAACTTTTCATCGCTGTCGCTCGGACGAGGACCAATCAACGGAGGTTTCATTCACTGACCAATGAGCGGGCAGGATGCTCCGTACACCTCCGAGCAAACATGGAGGAGAAGTTGGTTATTATTATGTTTTCTATAGTAAAATCACAAGTAATATTTCACATAACTCTAGCAGCACCTTGTGAAACATCATATCTACCGGTTTATTAACTCTGAACCGCTTAAATAACCTTAATTCCCTCCAACCTGACACAGCCAAACAAAACAACGGAAGTTTCGATTTCGCCATGGAACAGAACGTGTAGACGGCTTTTCCGCTGCCTCGGATCGCCTTCCGTGTGTCAGGTAATAAAAGCGACAGAGACAAATTTCGCTGATCGCGGTCGTTTGTCGCCTCCCGTGTGTCGAGCCCATTAGAAGAAAAAAATTCTTCTCTAGAAAAACAGCTTTACTTAAAAGCCTCTTTTATAAGACAGACCATGCCAGCATGGCGTTGCAGGAATTTTGCGGCATTCGTTCCGCCTCGCTTGGTAGTAATATTGCTGTAATGGTCTGTCGTACGCGCCCTGGCGCAACAGAGGCAGATGTCATGATGACGTGGGGAGTTATTGCTGAGCTCCGGCTGGCAAATTTATTGAAAATGAAAGTAAACACAGGCAATGAGGTTTGCTTTTTGAACAAAATCAGCTGAGATGGCAAACTGGAGCGCCACAGAGCCTCTCTGTTAGAGCTGAAGCTCAGATCACCAGAGGCTGCACAGGGACTGATGGGGACAGGCACCTTTAGGAGCTGCTTGTTAAGAAAAAGTAACGATCACCGCTTCAGTCGCAATAAAAAGCAAGTTATGTCCAAGATAAACGGAAGTCTGCGGCAGCGCAGAGACCGCCCCCAAACCCCCTTTATGCCGCCATCACCTAACCTTTTATAAAATTGCCACGATTGCGCCACATTACCGCTACCATCTGATCTTATACATGACCTTTATCCTCCCCAGGGAGCCGCGGAAAATCCTGTTTTGCAAACGCTATGGTCCTGTAAAAACCGCTAAAGTGGTATTGTGTAGATTTTACCGTTATAATCCATCAAATGTTGTTAAAAATGAATAAAATTATGTCCAGTTGAAAAATATTGGCGGCTTTGTAACATGTAACTATAAAAATCAGGTCTAAAGTACATGGTGCGCGGGTCTAGCGTCTTTGGGGGACGCCATGTTAGACGCCAAATTCCTGTGCCTGTCGATGACGTCACACACTAGATGATTGGCTGGATGTACGACTTACAGAAGTTACAGTACCGCATTCCAACGCATTTAGGCTGTAAGAAACACAAATTTAATAACAAAACTGCTAAACTCTTTCCAAAACATACGTGAAAGTAGAGAATTGACAGAGATGCACTATATTTTGGCCGAGCATTATTGCTGTAGTGTGATGACATCATCGGCAGGCGCAGGTCCTCGAGCAAATCTGGAAACCACAGCGCCAGAAAACTACGATCGGCGCTGTATGCACTCGATGGAGTTAAATAAAGGACCATCAAAGTCTGAGGAGTCACGCAAGGTTGCATGCTTTCTGCTCCACCGGTAAAAACATTTACCGTTAAGCTTTTTAAGCTAGCGATGAGGTGTAAAACTATACTGAAATGTGTGTACTAGCGGCAGGAAACTACACACTGCCACTTTAAAATACAATACATATTCCTTAATATGATTCAAACTTCTCCCAGTGGGGTAAGCTAAAGCTGATTGGCTGGAATTTTTAAAACTAGAAAAAGAATCTACCGTATTTTCCAGACTATAAGTCACACTTTTTTTCATAGTCTGGCCAGTCCTGCGACTTATACTCCGGAGGAACTTGTATACCAAATTATTTAGGCTATTCCGCGCTGCTACGGGCGGCTCTGGACCAGGAATGAGCTCCCCTGCCCCTCTGGGAATAAGAAACCCACACAGCCATCACCTGCTGGAGACCGTGGCGCGCTGCTGCTCCCTGGTGGTTTATACTGTTATTGTTGCCGGTACTTGTCTCGCAATGTGCAACGCTTGGTCTCAGATTTTGTAAGAAAAATAATAAAATTTCCCCCAAAATGCGACTTATACATGTTTTTTTCTTCATTATACATTTTATGGCTGGTGCGACTTATACTTCAGAAAATACGGTAAATTTTGATTTATTAGCTAGTTTTATTCATTCTAGCCAAGCAACATTTTGCTTACCTCATTGTTTTTTTTCACTAAAAACAAAAATCTGAATTTAATGTATCTAATGTAATAAAAACCCTGAATTGTACATTTCTGCAGATGTTGAAACATCAAAGAAGCGCCCCACCCTGAAAAATAAAAGCACACAATCTTAAAAAACATTCACCGCCCTGGAAAAAGTCTAAGCTTCTAAGACTTTTGAGCTCATCACCTCACATTGTTCAACATTTTCTCTGAAACGGCACTCGCACAACATGTCATCTTTTAAAGGTCAACTTGACTCATATTTTAATGTTTGCAGTGGACTCCAGTAGGAAGGAATGCCTTGTAAGTCGTACTCTGGGAGAAAAAGAGCTCCAGTGCAACTGTATGAGGACGTAGAAGTGAGCTGGATCAGAGTTGGGCTGAACACGGCAGGATTTTGAGTCTCATTTCCTGATATTTGGACATCTCGACTCTGATTGGCTAACAGCAACACAACTCTGCCACTGACTCTTTTTGCTGTGCAATATTGATGTTTTATTTCCACAAATAACACAAGTCTGGAGGAGTTCTGCTGTGTGGTGGATTTGCTAATGCTAGTGGTTAGCTTCTGCTAGCCAAGACGTTCTCGACCTGTTTCCTGAACGCTGAACCAACAATTTAAAAGCTCAACTAACTTATTTTTCTCGTTTACAAGAGGAGGCTGAGGTAGAGATCCAGAAATATTAGCCAGATCACAAAAAAACAAACAATTAAAACCTTGTTTTGTATTTTATAGGAAGAAAATTCGCTGCCATCACTCCGAGGGCGGGATTTCCTGTAGCCAAAGATGACAGCAGCAACACGGCTATTCTGATTGGCTGCCTGGTCGGCATCATCCTGTTGCTCCTGGCTGTGATCGCGGTTATTCTTTGGAGGCAGTACTGGAAAAAGATTCTTGGCAAGGTGGGTCTGGATGAAGGTAACTCCGTCACGTCGTCAACTGAACATTTTGCTTGTTTTTTAGGCTCAGCTGTCTCTTTTTACCAGATTTTAAAGTGTTTTAGCAACAAACTGTGCAGCTGCATCTGAATTAGATCTGGAAATATGGCATTCGAAGATTAAATTCTGTATCTAGGGTTTGATCGTGCTTCTGTTTGGTTTCTGATGCGTTTAACTGAGCGACGTCTCTTCCCTCTCAGGCTCAAGGAAGCCTGTCCAGTGACGAGCTCAGAGTCCACCTGTCAGTCCCGTCAGACAACGTGGTCATCAACAACACGCATAGCTACTCCAGCCGCTACCAGCGCATACACACGTTCCCTGACGACCGCGAGCCGGACAGGGATGCGGAGGGAGAGTATCAGGAGCCCAGCGCTCTGCTCAGGCCAAGGGATCAAAGGGACAGCACAGGTAGGCTGTGTGCAGGATTACGTGCTGCAGCTTGCATTTTTCTTTCTTCACTTAACAGACTGATTCAGAACTTGGGTATTGTGACATTTAAATAGCTGACTTGCTGCAAAATGGGCTGAGTATTTTGTGGTACCAGCTGCACACAGCTGGCGATAAATTAACAGGAAATGTGACACAGTGCCACCTTCCAGATGTCTTCAGATTCCTGCACTCGTGTTTGTGGTCTGGGCAGATTGCGCTGTTTGCATTCCCGTGTTTGTGCTTTTGCATGACAACTCAGAAATAAAGAGGGGAGAAGAAGAAATGATGTTGCCTGTGTTTCACAAAAACAGTGGTACTACGACGCAATTCCCCACGCCAAACAAAAGTAAATCAAACCGAACACCCTGTGAGGAGGAATGACAACAAGATGATGCTCGGCGCTGAGGGGACACAATAGAGCTATTGTTCCGAGACAAGGGAAGACACAGGAAGGAGGGAAGAGAAGGAGAGGATTAAAAAAGGAAAACGCATTCCCTTGCTTACATTGTTCCACAGGAGGTCGGCATGCCGTCTTTACTAGGCGCCTGCAAGAGTTGGAAATAACACAAGCAACAAATGTTCCAGTGTTGGTTTTTGTTTTGATTGTGTTAACTCGCCTGTTCCTGAGATGCTCCCTGTGTCAGCCATCTTTATTCATCAGAAGCAAAACCATAAGCTAACCATGCTAATGATTCTGTTTGATCCATTGTCATGATGGTGTGTGTTCCCCTCGTGTGTTTGTCATTGCCTGTGTGTGTGTGTGTGTGTGTGTGTGTGTGTGTGTGTGTGTGTGTGTGTGTGTGTGTGTGTGTGTGTGTGTGTGTGTGTGTGTGTGTGTGTGTGCGCGCACCCCACCAGCCTTGCTGTTAAACGTCCCAGCCTATCACCTCCTCCTACCAGATCACAGAAAAGGATGCAGAGCCCTAGTGGTCCCGAGCTCCACACAGGCTCAAGAAAAGAGGCTGAATGTGCCCCAGGGTAAGAGGCCTCCAGCTGGGCCAACACGGTCCGGACAAGCCCCCGCCTCACTATCCAGCTGCTTTCTGGGCCAGTAGATGGAAGTAGTCTCGCTCTAACCAGCGTTTTATTTTCTGTGCATGCGTTTGACCTTCAGTTACTAACACAACCTCTCCTTCTCACTACAAACAACTCTCTGTTTTGTTGGAAGGGAAAGTTTGGCTCCTGGGGAACTTAGAAGCTCATTAGTTTCTTTTAAACTTGGACGAATTTTCACGTTTAGCATCAGAGGTCAAAGGTCAATCAACCATCGCAGTCAGCGGAAATGTAAGCTGATCTTTCTCCCCCCCGCTGGGGATAAAATTAAAGATTAAGATTAAAGTTCCATTTAGTCGTCACACACACACACAGGTGTGTGGTGAAATTTATTCTCCGCATTTGACCCATCCCCTGGGGGATGGGGGGAGCTGCAGACAAGCCGCGCTTGGGAACTATTTGGTGGTTTATCCCCCCAATCCAACCCCTTAATGCTGAGTGTCAAGTAGGGAGGCATTGGGTCCCATTTTTTCAAAGTCTTTGGTATGACCCGACCAGGAGTCGAACCCCTGATCTCCCGATCTCAGGGCAGAGACACTACCACTAGACCACTGAGTCGGTCAATCAAGCTATTGACAGGTTAGAAGTACCGCCCCTTTTCTCACACGTGTAGCTGAAAACAAATACGGCGCAGACTGACAACAAAACATCAACGAAACTCAGATAAGCATCGTCTCACGGCCTTTTGCAAAGTTCGCATTCCAGTTGAAACTACTTATCAGAGCACTTCGTTAAATGGTCTGTATTTGATATAGCGCCTTCTAGAGCCCTGGAACCCCCCCAAGGCGCTTTACAACACAGTCATTCACCCATTCACACACACACACATTCACACACTGGTGGGGATGAGATACGATGTAGCCACAGCTGCCCTGGGGTGCACTGACAAGAGGCGAGGCTGCCGAGCAAAGTGGTCACCAGTCCCTCCGACCACCACCAGCAGGCAAGGTGGGTTAAGTGTCTTGCCCAAGGACACAACAACAGCGACAGACTGAGCGGGGCTCGAACCTGCAACCTTCCGATTAGGCTCGAACCTGCAACCTTCCGATTATGGGGCGAGCACTTACCTCCTGTGCCGCCGTCGCCCAGTTTCCTACGTAGGAAAACCCAGCAGATTGCATCAAGTTGACCCGTCCCTTGTGGTCTGCTTCTACAAACGTGTTAAGAACGATTGTGATTGGTCAATGGCTGCATGCAGTACGTGTCAGGTCCACAAAAGGTTTTCACGTCGCCTTCCTAAATGCATCACACAAGAACCTGTGTGAGTGACTAGCATCTTACCTGTTGTAGCTAGCTCTTACAATCCACTTTGAGCTTGACTCTGCTCAGACTAGCCGTTAGCTTATCAGTCCCATCAGAATCACGCCTGTTCTCCAAACTGAGGCTGTCGAAGGAACCATCTACAACGCGTAAGATATTAATTGATTATAAGTTTTCCCTTTTGTTTTATGGCTACGAGGATAAAGTATGAACCAGGCTGTTGCCATGACAGCAGCTTCGCTTTCTTTTGTTCCTTAAAAAAATAAAACATGAGTAGTAAAAGCCAGCAGTGAAGCCATGTCATGATTTGGGTTCTGCCTTTTCTATCTTGTGAAGAAGCTTTTGTACCCTGATGAGGTGGTTTTCATCAGGATAACTAAATCTCCAACAGTCAGTGAGAAGTTCATTAGTGTGAAGTGAATTATGTAGTCTGGCCTTGACAGTCATGAGATCCTAACTGAATTTAAATCCTCAGACCAGAGGAAACTAAAGAAATGGCCAAATTCTTCTAGTTTTTGCCGTTTAGCTCAAAGACGTCCACATCGATCCTCATGAACTCCCCCTAAGTACTAAACCCTCATAATTCTAAATGCTTTGGTTTAACTCGCACAGTTATGATGCGTTGGCTGTGGCGGCGCGTGAATCTGGGCTGGACGGAAAACGTATCAAGTCCAGTAGTGTTTCAGAGGTAAACCAACTTGGTATTCCAACCCTACCCTCCCTACTTGATTCATTTGCTGTCAGAACCTCTCGAGAGGCGCTGGTGTCAAACGCTAAATTATTATCTCTTAGAAGTGTTTCAATTTTATCGGCAAGTACAGCAGTAGGTTCGAATTAATTCTAATAAACTAGGAAGACTGCAGCTAATGAGCGAAGGAGGATTTATTCCTCGGAGTGCTCGTTGTTGTTCCTGTTTAACAGCGTGGGTTATCCTGTAGTCCCGATGCAGGGACAGAAATAAACACCACTTCATGCAGAATTATGAAGCAGACAATATTTTCTCTCAGGGAAAATTGGTATTCGTTACTAGAAGGCAATTATATTACACACCGGTGGCCATCTGACTTTTTAGATTCTCCACCATCACTCGGGAAAACCCGGATGAAACAAAGATAAATGTGCCGATGGGACCGGAGGACGCCGAAACGAGGAAAGTGTTCAGAAAGCCTGCTCGATGTAATGGATGGTGATTCAGACACACTGATGTCTGGCTATTTCAGTGGGACGGCGCTTTCTCTGCATCGTTTCTGCTGTGGCTCAGCATCCCGGCAGATGAATGGTTTTCTATGACATTAAATAATCTTTCTCCGGGCCAGAAAAGCTGAATCTGTAAACTCTTTTTATCTGAGTGGGATTTTTTTTTTTTTTCCTAAGTTTGCTTCTAGTTTGTGTGAAAACCTAAAACGATTCATATTTAAATGCAACTCCTCTAAATCCAAACGATCTCTTCATAACAAACGGATTTCACGTCGTTTGATTCTGTTTAATCGTCTCATTTCATCCACCTCTCCCTTCTGTCACCAGCGTGTGGGTTGGACTTGGACATGGAGAAAGGTTTCGCCTCCGCACAAGAAGAGCCGCCTCCCTATCCTGGGTCTCCTCCTTACCCGTCTTTGTCTCCACCTGTCTCTCCCCCTCTTCCTCCAAGTGTCCCCCACTATGCAGAGGCAGACATAGTGAGTCTGCAGGGTGTGAGCGGGAACAACACCTACGCCGTACCTGCCCTGGCCTCCTCCAGTCCGGGGGCCGACGCCACCCCTCTACCCGAGCTGCAGCGCCAGTGCCTCGTCTTCAAGGAGAAGCTGGGAGAGGGACAGTTTGGGGAGGTGAGAACTGAAGCAGTTATGGGTGACGGTCTGAGTATTGGGTATGAATGTCTGTGTGTTTGTTGGTCAAAGGTGCACCTGTGTGAAATCGAAAACCCCCAGGACCTTCCAAACTTGGAGTTCCCCTTTAATGTGAGGAAAGGTCGCCCTCTGCTGGTGGCTGTGAAGATACTGCGCCCAGACGCATCTAAGAATGCCAGGTTATTGTCGTCTCTCTCTCTCACACACACACACACACAGACACACACACACACACCTACACACACACACACACACACACATGTTCACAGCTTTCCTCTGTTTTTACAGCTTAACCCTCTTTTCACACCTCCCATACGTCCAGCTGTAATGCTCCCATTAAATATCGTGTTTCTTGAACATCAGGTAGGATTTAGCAGAACTCGACTGGTTATTTGTCGTTTGGGAGGCAAAGAAAATGTCACAGATCTGCAGCAGCTTAAGGGATTTAGCTCTTAGGGCAGAAAAATGTGCCTCAAGACTCCAGCGAGGGGATTAGGGTTCATTTACGTCTTTATTTTGCACACAAATGTAATTTTAACTTTTAAAATTCACTTTGTTCATCAGAGCATGACTGCTAAACTAGGTTAGCTGTATGTAGATTCATAAAAATAATTTAGGAGTAATCTGAATATCCAAATTATTCTTTTATAACTCCTGACACAATTTATTTCTGGGTTACGGCTGTATAAACTGGTGTAGAGAGAACATGGTGGTAGTAAGTTTTGGATTTTCACTCAGCAGTCAGATTTTATTTTAGTTCCATCCATCTAATTTCATTCGCTTATCTGGGGTCGAGAGCTCCAGACTTCCCTCTCCCCAGCCACTTGGGCCAGCTCCTCTGGGGGAATCCTGGTCTTCCCAGGCCAGGTGAGGGACACAATCCCTCCAGCGTGTCCTGGGTTTTCCTTTGGGGTTGGACGTGCCCGGAAAACCTCACCAGGGAGGCGTCCCGGAGGCATCCTGACCAGATGCCAGAGCCTCCTCAACTGGCTCCTCTCGATGTGGAGGAACAGCGGGTCTACTCCGAGGCCCTCCCGGATGATCGAGCTTCTCACCCTATCTCTAAGGGAGAGCCCGGCCACCCTGAGGAGAAAACCCTTTTTTTTTTTTGGCCGCTTGTATCCGTGATCTCTCTACCCAAAGCTCGTGACCATAGGTGAGGGTAGGAACGTAGATCGACCAGTAAATCTGGAGCTTCATCTTCCAGCTCCGCTCTCTCTTCACCACAACAGACCGGTACAACGCCCACATCGCTGCAGATGCAGCACCAATCCTCCTGTCGATCTTGCGCTCCAGCTTTCCCTCACTCGTGAACAAGACCCGAGATGCTTAAACTCCTCCACTTAAGGCAGGACCTCATCCCTGATCCGGAGAAGGCATTCTACCCTTTTCCGACTCGGGACCGTGGTCTCGGATTTAGAGGAGCTGATTCTCATCCCAGCTGCTTCACACTCGGCTGCAAAACGCTCCAGTGAAAGCTGGAGATCACGTTCTGATGAAGCCAACAGGACCACATCATTTTAGTTAGCTTGATGATTTTCTTTTCAAAATCACAAATGTGTGTTCTTTGCAATATTTAAATTAGCAAGAATAATAATTAAAAAAGAAAGCGACTAAAGCCGATCTCTAAAAATCTCTCAATAAATAACGCCTCCAAAGAAATCTGAGGTGATTCATCAGGAAAGGACACAAAAAACTTGCCTCCTGATCTACTTGAAAGTTGGCCTGAGCTGTTAAATAATTTTTCATTTCATAACTGGTTTGAATCCCCAGAATTTAAGAAATCCTTTGCAGACATTTCTATTTATCTTCTCCCATTCCCTTTTCCTACTCGTAGGAATGACTTCCTGAAAGAGGTGAAGATCCTGTCTCGTTTGAAGGACCCAAACATCATCCGGCTGCTGGGCGTGTGTGTGAGCAGCGATCCCCTCTGCATGGTCACTGAGTACATGGAGTGTGGAGACTTGAACCAGTATCTGTCCCAGCGAGTTCTACTGGACAAAACTGGGCCTTTACACAACACGCCCACCATCAGGTAACACGATCATTTAAGAAGACGACAAAAATATGTTTTACATTTAAATTTGTTCCTGTTTTGAATTTAAATTAAAGCTGGGAATTGATTAAAATCAATTAACTAATTAATCGAAAATCTGAAAAAAATTAATCGCAATAAAAAATAATTCCAGAAAAAACAAGCAAGAAACATGCAAAAATATACAAGAGAGGTTCATTTTATTTAGAAAGTGCATAACTTGTTGAAGTGTGTAAAATCCCTGATTACTGTTCTAACAGAGAAAACCTAAAATCAAATCCAGTTTCTGTTCAAAAACATTGTTTGAAAAAGTCTGTTGTAGGGATGGGTACCTTTGACATTTGTATCGAGTCGGTACTAATTCCCGGTACCTAGGAATCGATTCCGGTACTTAACGGAACCAATTTTAGATACTTTTGAGTGTTTAATATTTTAATTCTCTTTTTATAATTAAATATATTTTTCTCAATATATAACCATATTTGATAAATATCACAATAAATAACATACAACTGTTTGTATTTTAACATCGTCCTCAAGTTTACTATATTAATGTCTGTGTTTATTGTCTGATTTTGTGCCTCACTAAATTAATTTTCAATATAAAAGTAGCTTTTGGGCAAATTTTCTTTTTTAATCTATTAAAATGCGATTAATCAAGATTAATTAATTACAAAACCTCTTATTAATTAGATTATTTTTTTTAATTGAGTCCCACTCTTAAAAAGTAATTCTCAAACTTCTGTGGTAATCTTACTTTACTGGTAATCTTTTGTCCCAGTTACCCAGCCCTCATCTCCATGGCCAGCCAGATTGCATCGGGAATGAAGTTCCTGTCGTCCCTCAACTTTGTGCACAGAGATCTGGCCACTCGTAACTGTCTAGTCGGGGGTGAGAAGGGTGAGAGCGGAGATGATCAAGGCAGCGAGCGTCACATCAAGATAGCAGACTTTGGCATGAGCAGAAACCTGTATGCTGGAGACTACTACAGGATTCAGGGCAGAGCCGTGCTGCCGATACGATGGATGGCCTGGGAGTGCATACTCATGGTGAGCACACTCAAAAAAGATTCAGAACCCTTTTTTTTTCATCTGTGCATCATTTTATCCACACATTTGTGCAGGTTGGGTCCTTACGGGTCACTAAAAACACAAATACAAGGAAAAGAGCTGATGAATCATTAATGAGGCAGAAACTCTTAATGTGTCATCTCGCACCTTTGATGATAATGGTGTTTACAATCATTTTGATGCTAATGGAGTTTCTGATTTTGTGTGTGTGTGTGTGTGTGTGTGTGTGTGTGTGTGTGTGTGTGTGTGTGTGTGTGTGTGTGTGTGTGTGTGTGTGTGTGTGTGTGTTCGTTCTCAGGGTAAGTTCACCACTGCCAGTGACGTGTGGGCCTTTGGGGTCACTCTGTGGGAGATGCTGAGCGTTTGTCAGGAGCAGCCATACTCCAACCTCACAGATGAACAAGTCATCGACAACGCTGGCGAGTTTTTCAGAGACCAGGGCAGACAGGTACAAATACACACCTACACCAGAATCTGCTCGTGGGATTTTCACATTTATGCTGAATTCAGACAACCGCTTTAAAACACACCATAGTCTGAACATGCAGGTGACGACGTGGAATAGATGTGTACAAAAATATCGCCTGCATTAAAATTCTACCCCTTTGGGCCCGAGCGTCTTGAGTGATTAAACTGTGATTAATCGAGATTAATTACACAACCTCTAATTAATTAGATTAATTTTTTATAGAATTCCGCCCATAATGCATGTATGTGTGTGTGTGTGTGTGTGTGTGTGTGTGTGTGTGTGTGTGTGTGTGTGTGTGTGTGTGTGTGTGTGTGTGTGTGTGTGTGTGCGTGCGTGCGCACACATCTCATCACGTCTCTCTCCTGGTTTATCTCTCAGGTATATCTGAGCCGACCAGCTGTGTGTCCTCAGGGTCTCTATGAACTCATGTTGAGCTGCTGGAACAGAGATTGCAAGCTCCGCCCATCGTTCGCCTACATCCACTCCTTTCTCACGGAGGACGCCATGAACATGGTTTAAAGTTTAAAAGCAAGGAAGGATGGGGTGAAGACTTGTTTGCTCACTCATCTGCGAGATGATGGGTGTGGGTGTGTTCACAGGAGGAGCAGGATGCTGGATTTTGTATTTTGTACTTTTCAGGTGGATGGGGGGGGCTGAGACACCGCTGGTTCGGTTTTAATTCCACCTCAGACCCCAAAGACTTTCGAAAGGTGACCGTCTGAGCTACATCTCGTAGCTGGTGGTGGGTTTTCTCTTGTTCTGTAGCCATAATCATGCATCAAAAACTAGAATATGAACGGATTTAACCTTTATTTTAGCATCTTAAACGTTGCATGCAGGAGAACAGGTGCATCAAAGATCCCCTGCTGCACATGACTCACAAACTTTAAACTGAACACCTGTTGCTCTGAGGTGAAACGGCACACACAGGGATTATCTGGTATTTATAGCCCCAAGCATGGTCTGTAATTCAGTGAGATTACTCCCATCTCCGCCCCCTCCTCTTACCCTGTCGGGTTGGTTCATCTCATCCCCGTACTCCTGAGAACTGCAACCTCCATCTTTATCAGGAAAAAGTTCCAGAACCATCTTTGAGAGACAGAGCCCGTGCATGTGGTACCAGATGGACTCCATGGAGAAGACACAAGTCTGCAGCTTCTGCTGATGATCAGATGTGACTACGTTCCCCAGCAGAGTGAAAATGCAGATGGTGAAAGGCACACGGGACTCCTTTAAATATTTAAATGAACTTTTTCAAATCTATTATTTTTATTTCCTGTATCTGGCTGTGACTCGGTCAGAGGGGATGCATTTAAAATTCCACAACCAGCTGCACTTTACCCCACATGCATTTCCCGGCCTGTGACCCAACTTCTCCCTCCTGGTCGTGAATGATTCCTGATTGTGATGCAAGAATTTTTACTTTTCTTTTTCATTCGTTTTTTTTTTTTTCACAGAGAAAATTCACAAATCTCAGCCAAAACCTGCAAACCCATAATGCAGCAGCGCCGAACCGTTAGATGTAAAATATTGTTTAAAACAAACTGGAATGGCATTCTGACTTCGTTTATAATGTGTGTAAAGGAGATGTTACTCCGTAATCCATTCTTCCAAATACTTTACTGTAGTTTTCTTTGGCATTATTCAGATTGGGAATTCTGGGATTCCTGGTTTAGTGCGAGAGTTGATCTCTGAGACGTTTTGGAGTCTGTGCTTCTGGCTTCCCGTCTGTAGAGCACAGGAAACCAGACCTGGCATTGTGGGCTATGCATGCATAGTGACTCATTCTGATACACTGTGGTTCAAGTTCAGAGTAAAAGGTGTATGTGTCGTCACATTAAAATAAAAACAACCTCTGCTCCTGGTATGGTGTTAAAATGAGGTAAATCGTCGTAAAACAGTTGAACAGTCAAAGGCAGAAGTCGAGGAGTAAACCAGCTGATGATCATGTAGCCTATGGAAACACATTCATCATATGTTGAGGAATTTCTTCTTCAGCGAAGGGTATTACCCACAAGCCATTGCTGTGGGGAAAAAGGCTCAAGGGTCTTTTATGGAAATATGTATCTTCAAATGACAGTAGTTCGTTTTAGGATGATTAATTGATGCTCTGAATGTTTTAGACGAAGCAGAAATTAATGTAAACGCATTTCAAATAGTTGGTTGTTCGTTAAAAAGTTTTTAATAAAGGTTTTTTAAAAAGTAGCACCGAGACCAGCATCCCCGGCATGCGTTGCGATCGATGACCCAATGCTCCCCGTCTCAATTCGGCAGTCATTTGCACACTTGAGCACCTCGCACTCGAAGCCTTACTGCACACTTTCTCCAAGTGCACTTCACAAAAGGCCATAGGGCGCAGTGCAAGGATTGGGATTGAGCCTAAATCCTACTGCGTTTTGTTCATCTCTCCCCAGGCTAACTGCTACTTCCTGAAACAAGAGCGCCAGAGCTTTTATTCCAGAAATCTACTCACGAGTCATTCTAGTCATACTAGAGACCACTGGAAAGGTGCTGGAAAAAAAAAAGTGAACTTGGCCTTTAAACATCTCTACTTTGACCTCTCCCTCCGAAGGTTGTGTATGGAAGCCCATTCCCGCCACTCGGATAAAAAAAATACTGTATCTCATAATGAAATATTATCTCATAATAATGAGATACTATCTCATAATAATGAGATAGCTAAGTCATAATTATGAGATAATACTTTATTTTTTATCTGAGTGGCAGGAATGGGCTTCCATAGTTGTGTGTTTCATGAGTCTTGTGGTTTGCTCGGATGTGACTTTGCAGAACTAAAGCATGTTATCCTTTTCAAAGAGAAGTGGTTTTCTTATGAAAACTTAAAAAAAACGTTTTTTTATCGTATTCCTAAGAGCTTTTTAATTTGCTGACATTTAACTGAAAACTGGAGATCTGAAGCTTTTTAGTAATTTCTCTGAACAAAACCTGTCCTGACCTTACAGAAGCCTGCTGGTTAAATTACATAAGTTTACTTCCTGTGGGGCTGTAAGTTGTTTTAAAATGACGGATGGACGGGCGAAAGCAATTACTGTCCATAAATACACGTGCAGACCAGCAGCTGGCTTAGATTTGCAGGTCCTGCCTTCCTTCTGCATGTCCTAAAACAGGTAAAAGACACGTTTTATTAGGATTTACCTCATTTTAAACTCTGCATTTACAAGAACACTTTAAAGAGGGTGTGTTTATTTTACTGTTTTCATTAGTTTGTACATATTTTATAGACTAAATTGCATTTTCCTTTACTAATATATAGAAATCCTGGGTCACTCTTTGGGTCTTTGTAGAACGCTTGTTACCTTGAAGCTCTTCATTGTTTATTTTTATAGGTGTTTAAATAAATTTAACCATTTTCCAAAAAAAGTCTCAGTATTCAACAGAACTTCGATTTTATGACAATGAAAAAAATAAAACAGGTTGATTTTAGTGAATAAAACATTTTATTATAATTTTATTAGACATACTTCTGTATATTTGACACGAGCGGTTTCACACGGAGCCATTTTAAGAGTCATGCTTCAAATACGGCACACAGGAATAAACCAACAAGGCAGAGACGATCTTGGCTTCAGTTTTGTGCCATCAACAGTGACAGCCGATGGCGCGATTGGTCACACACACGAACTTAATCCCAAAAGGCTAAACGGCAAAGATTAGCGTGTCTGAACAGGCACTTGGTGGTTAGTAAGATGCATACGTCTTAAAAAGCTTTGGAGAGTTAGTTTATAAAGAAAAAGGATATAAAACATTTAATGTTCAAAGACTACATATATGTAGCTAAAGCACATGCATCAGTTTTACATCATACAGCAATGAGCGCAGAGTCGGAGCTTTTAGAACCAAATCAGCCCACAGAGAAGCAGCAGGATGGTTTCTGAGAGATGATCCTCCTCTAGAGACAGAAAAATTAAAAAACAGCTGCTCGGAAACTTCCACACCACTGTTTCCTCCAGACGACTCGTACAGAACCCTCAAACCACTTCCTCTGCCTTCGCTCGACAAGCAAATCCTCCCGCCTGCAGCTCGAACACTAAATACAAACGACATGTGGCTACATAGAAAAGAATATAAACCATTGCAATGCTGTAGTAATGAGTGGAACAGCAGTGATGAATTAAAGGCACGACAACCTGAACTGTCTCTTTCAATTACCGTTTTAAAAAGCTGGTATAAATGAATGTTTTCCTATCAGGGATTTATAAGGATGGTCACAATAATAATACATAAAAAAAGTTAAATCCGGTACAAAACGGCCGCAGTTCTTCATTCAAGTTGCTCTAGAAGCTAAAGCAGGCTGCGATTTGTTCCCATACACAAAAAATGTTCTCATCAGCGTTTCTGCTGTGGCTAGCAACAGCCAATCAGGAGCCACCAGGAAAACAAACCCACACCGCATGAAGGAGGAAGAAGAAAGCATCCTAAACTGGTTAGATGTTTGGGAAACGATCGAGACGAGACTTGGGGTGAGGACATCTAGACGACTTTTCTGATGCTTCGTCTTCTTAATGCACTCGAGTGGGTTTTCCAGCAGCCTGTGGGGGAAAATAAAAATTAGCATCAAGTTTGTTTAGTCAGGAGCTTTAACTGTTTCACATTAGATGTCACCTGTGAGATGTTGACTCCAGTGAGTTTCTCAATAGTGTGAGGCAGTCGGGTCATGATGTCCAGCACTTCTCCAGCTAGTTTAGCTGCTCCCACCTCCGATCCACCGCTGGACACCATGGTGATCTTCTGGGCCTCAGACATCGGCCTGCTGATCTCCTCTGCCATCTGCAGAAAAAAATTTTTAATTTACAGAAGATAAGACCCCAGGGTCCTAAAATCAACATTTACAGCGTGAGCCTGAGTCGATGCGTGCTGCTTTATATCGGTGTCGTATTAAATATCACTCATCTGCCCCTTAAGAGAATCAGAATCAGGTGTATTGCCATTGTCAGTGAACAAACAATTCACAAATTAGGAACTTGCTTCGGTACTAATGTGCTACATATTACATGAATAATATGGTTAAAAATAGAATAAAATATAATTAAAAAAAAAACTAGAATAAAACTTTCAGCTATAAAAAATGGCAGGTAATGGTAACATGGCCGATAACGTGACTTTGTGTCGAGTACAGAAGACCAGCATGGTTGTGTGTTTATAAGCTGTTCACAAGTCTAACGGCAGATGGAAAGAAGCTGTTCTTATGGCGGGAGGTTCTGGTCCGGATGGACCGTAACCTCCTGCCTGAGGGAAGCGGCTCAAAAAGTCTGTGACCCGGGTGCGAAGGGTCAGCTCCTATCCGACCTGCACGCCCCCGAGTTCTGGAGACGTACAGGTCCGGGAGAGATGGAAGGCTGCAGCCAATCACCTTCTCAGCAGAGCGCACAATGCGCTGCAGTCTATGTTTGTCCCTCACCGTGGCTCCAGCGTACCACACAGCGATGGAGGAGGACATCCACTCATTACTTCAATAAATCGGTGGTCTCTGTTATAAATGAATGTATAGTGAGTCCATCTGTGTGTGTGTGTGTGTGTGTGTGTGTGTGTGTGTGTGGAGGGGGGGGGGGGGGGGGGGGGGCTCCTTTTTCAGGTAGTAGAAATGAGCCACAGGAGAACGGAGCAGAAAACGGCAGGATTTAGTCTTCCTCATTAATATTCCTGGTAATCTGAAATCGCTCCCCTGATTGGCTACCAGCAACGTGACTCTACTGCTGTTTCTGCAAGGTTGTTATTTTTTGTCTCCACAAATGACAAACCTGGAGGACTTCTGCCATGTGGTGGATTTGCTAATGCTAACAGTTAGCTTCTAGGAGCCGAGACGTTTTCTGCTAATTTAATCCAAAGTGAGTTTGTTTATGTTTATGTTTATTTATTTAGCAGACGCTTTTATCCAAAGCGACTTACAATTTATAACCTATAGGGCATGTTGTGAACTGTAGGGGAAACCGGAGTACCCGGAGGAAACCCACGCATGCATGGGGAGAACGTGCAACTCCACGCACAAAGGCTGCAGCCGAGTTTCGAACCTGCAACCTTCACCACTGCGCCACCATGCAGCCCCAGCTGATTTAGTAATCAACCTAAGATGCAAGTTTGGTTTAACAGGATCAGTCTGAACCGATAATCCAACGCTAACCTCACCCTGCACACCTCAGACGTCCTTTACTGTCTGGTTGAGACTCAAAGTGCACATTTCATTTATTTTTTTGTTGACACCATAACCGAGAGAAGAACAGCTAATAATGAAACCTGTCGTCTCTGTTGGAAATGTACCAGGAGCTAATAAAACTGACAGCAGAAAGAAGAACCATGGGTAAAAATACTAGAAAACATCTAAACTGGAATAAATCAACTAAAGGTTGACAGAATAATCAATGATCCCATTATATTCGTTTTGTTTTTGTACACTTAGTGGACCAAACTACGATGTGATCAAACTGACCAGCGGGAGTTTCTCCAGCAGCATGTCCACCATGGCTCCATCTTTATATTGCTTAAAGGCCTCTGCCTTTTTGGTCATCTGCTCCGCTTCGGCGCGACCTTTAGCTTCCAGAGCGAAAGCCTCCGCCTCACCTTTCATCTGCAAGGCAGAAGAAGATAAAAACAAGTCAGGAAAGTTCAGAACAGATGTGTTGATAGGAATGTTTACCGTAAAGATGGGAGACATCGGCGAATTTCTGGATTTGTCGGCATGAAACTGACGTCAAAACGCATTTATAACAGCCGCTGCTAGAATGGATTATATCAGCTCTTCTAGTTATTGCAGTCTGGAATAACAGTTCTCACTGATGGCGCTGAAATATGAATCAAAGAAGAGAAAAATGGTTTCTCACTCTGACAGACTCGGCCTCAGCTTCAGCCTCCATGATGAGCTGCAGGCTGCAGGAGAGGAGAAACTCATGTGAACAATTCATCTCCTCAGCCCAACAGTTCCAGTAAAATAAAGTCGGGTCCTCACCGCTGCGCCTCAGCCAGCCGCTCCAGGCGGTATTTCTCAGCCTCGGCGGGCTTCTTGACTTTAGCTTCGAGCTCCTTCTCTTTGCGGATGATCTCCTGCTCCTGCAGAGTAATCTGCTGCGTGCGTTCCACCACCTGAACCTGCATCTTCTCCTCCTCGATGCGCTGCTTGGTCTTGGCCACCTTGTGTGGGACATGTGAAGACGTCTTGTGAGGAATCTGACCAGGATTAGCCTAAACTTCATCTGCATATAATGACATAGCTCTAGAACGGTGGCCTTCAGAAAAGATTCAGATTTAGAAAAAAACTATTTGTCTCCAGAGGGACATTATGACACACAGAGCAGTGTTAAAATAAAAAAAGACATGCAATTAAAAACTTTACTAATGTTATATTTAACACAACACTAAAGAGGTTCGTCCTGGGTATCTCAAGGCTATGGATGTTGTAGGGCTGTCATGGTTGACACGTCTCTAGAACATTGCGTGGTCATCGGGGGCAGTTCCTAGGGAGTGGCAGACCGGGGTGGTGGTCCCCATCTTTAAGAAGGGTGACCTGAGGGTGTGTTCCAACTATAGGGGGATCACACTCCTCAGCCTCCCTGGAAAGGTCTACGCCAAGGTACTGGAGAGGAGGGTCCGATCGATAGTTGAATCTCAGATAGAGGAGGAGCAATGTGGTTTTCGTCCTGGCCGTGGAACTGTGGACCAGCTCTATACCCTTGCAAGGGTGATGGAGGGGGCATGGGAGTTTGCCCAACCAATCCACATGTGCTTTGTGGATTTGGAGAAGGCTTATGACCGTGTCCCCAGGGGCACCCTGTGGGGGACGCTCCAGGAGTATGGGGTGGGTGGCTTTCTGTTAAGGGCCATTCAGTCCCTTTACCAGAGGAGCGTGAGTTTGGTCCGCATAGCCGGTAGTAAGTCGGACCTGTTCCCAGTGAGGGTTGGACTCCGCCAGGGCTGCCCTTTGTCACCGGTTCTGTTCATCACTTTTATGGACAGAATTTCTAGACGCAGCCGTGGTGTGGAGTGTGTGGAGTTTGGTGGCAGGAGAATCTCGTCTCTGCTTTTTGCGGATGAAGTGGTCCTCCTAGCTTCATCCAGCTCTGACCTTCAGCTCTTGCTGGGTAGGTTCGCGGCCGAATGTGAAGCGGCTGGGATGAGGATCAGCACCTCCAAATCTGAGACCATGGTTCTCGACCGGAAAAGGGTGGCTTGCCACCTCCGGGTCGGGGGAGAGGTCCTACCTCAAGTGGAGGAGTTTAAGTATCTCGGGGTCTTGTTCACGAGTGAGGGTAGGAGGGATCGGGAGATCGACAGGCGGATCGGTTCGGCGTCTGCAGTGATGCGAACGCTGAGCCGATCTGTCGTGGTGAAGAGGGAGCTGAGCCAGAAAGCCAGGCTCTCGATTTACCGGTCGATCTACGTCCCAATCCTCACCTATGGTCATGAGCTTTGGGTAATGACCGAAAGAACGAGATCGCGGATACAAGCGGCTGAAATGAGTTTCCTCCGTAGGGTGGCCGGGCTCAGCCTTAGAGATTGGGTGAGGAGCTCGGACATTCGGGAGGGACTCGGAGTAGAACCGCTGCTCCTCCGGATCGAAAGGAGCCAGTTGAGGTGGTTTGGGCATCTGGTCAGGATGCCTCCTGGACGCCTCCCCGGGGAGGTGTTTCGGGCATGTCCTGCCGGCAGGAGGCCCCCGGGTCGACCCAGGACACGTTGGAGAGGTTACATCTCCAATCTGGTCCGGGAACGCCTTGGGGTCCTGCCGGAGGAGCTGGTGGACAAGGCCGGGGAGAGGACGGCCTGGAGCTCCCTAATTGGGATGCTGCCCCCGCGACCCGGACCCGGATAAGCGGATGAAGACGAAGACAACACTAAAGGGTTTTAACACTTTAGGCGACTGCTTTCAGTGATTCTTGAGCAACTTCACATTGGACAGCACTCTGTCGCCCTCTGCTGACTACAAACTGCATGTAACAGTCTAACTGCGTCACAGCAATAGCTGTTTACTGTGCCGGTAGCTAATATAAAGGCTAGCAGTTAGCTTATTCAGTTCGCTGACTGTTAATGAAAAGCCTGGAAGTAAGAGTGTAATGTCTTTGGAGGTGAAGCCAAAAGCTAAAGTCAGAGTGAACATTAGTGCTGCCAAGGCTAGTTTGAGGGAGCTAAACGAGGCTACAAAGTCAGACTGATGGTGACCTGGCTTTGTTGCTACTGGACTTGTAACTAATAATTTTGTCCAACAATGTGGATCTTTTTAACTTTGTGGTTTGTTTTAGTATCAGGTGGCTCCCCCGTTAGCGCTAGCTATAGCGGGGTTTTACACGACAGTTGTAATTCTGCGTTCAACTAGTAGAGGGGAGAAATGTAAAACTTAAATAGTGTTGATTTTACATTGTAAGTGAAACTGAAAGAATAAAGGAGAAACAAACACATTTATTCCATATTTAAATCTTATTTCAAAAGTCTTTGTTTTACTTTTAAATGTTCAGAATAAATTTACTGAAATGTAACCAATCAGCGTTCAGGTCTGGGCACCACTAGTCCAATTGTACTGGACTGTACCTGAAGCTGATAGGCCATCTCTGACTCCGCCTTCTTGGTGTTGACCTCCATATCATAGGCTGCTTTCTTCAGCTCGTAGTCTCTCTGCGCTTTTGCCATTTCTATCTCGTTTTTGTACTGAGCGGACACCTTCTCTTGCATCGCCTGAGCCTCCTACACCACATCAGGAGGATAGAGACACATTAGCTCGTCATTTTAAGATTAAATTTTCTCTTTATACTTAATAACACTTTTGCTTTACCTTGATAACAGAGTCGCGTTTGTACTGAGCCTCTCCGATCCTCGCATCCTTCTGCACCTGGGCCGTTCGAGCTTTACCCAGAGAGTGAAGGTAATCCTGCAACAGAGACGGGAAGAGAAGAAAACTGAGACAATCAAATCTGGACTTCGCCAGATGCTGCCAGAAAGACGCGCTGAAACTGTGTAGAGATGTGTGGTGACGTCTCTGGAAGAGGGGTACATTAGCCAGACTGAATGAAGCAACAGTTTGGTTACCATAGAAACACTTAGGCCTAATTTGTCTCCCTTTCTAAAGGAGGATGGAGGCTGGAGGAATCGGAGGCAGTCAATATCAATCACCAAAACCCATTACTGCAGTGGAACCCATTAGAGTCTGAAAGCTTTGATGTGAAATTAAAATGACTGAATAGCACACTGGGTTCCTGTCACTTTCCTGTGATACATTTTAAATGGAGACTAGGCAGTTTGATTGTATTTAGCACCCCCTAGTGTCAGTTTAGTAAAACTGAAAGCAAAACTTATCTCCTTGCTGTGTGTTCATCTTTTGAACACTTAAGCCAGGCGTACACTGTGTGACTTTTTCACATTTTTTAGACGATTTTCCACTCGTGCGAGAATCCACAAGATCGGGGCGAGTTTTGCGCTGAGCGTGGTGTAGTGTACAGGGGGTTACGAGAGGCGATTAACACCACGTGACCAGCCACCGATCAGCAATCGTGAGCTCGCACGGACTTCTGGAGTGTTTGATATTTTGCTCGTTCCTCGTGAGGGTTGAAGTGGCGCAGCGAGCGGCTGCAACCCAAAAAGTACCAGAACCGCTCACAGTGCATGCGCAATCATGCATCAACACCGCTCGCCCGCTATTTCCCTAATAACACACATTGTTTGTTTTTATTTCTACACATTTTTTTTCACACAATGACAAGGATTGTCAAGAAAGTGTGTTTGTCGTGTTCATGTCAAATTAAACTGATCACAAAACACAGATTTACTTTACTTCGTTTTCCTCATCCAGCCCCCATAAATCCCTGTGTGTCCTCCTGCAGCACTCCCGAAGGACAACAGGCAAAACAAGACAAAAAAGTCTGATGTGTCGTGTAAAAACTGCTATTTTTAGTATATTTTTAGGTCCAACCAAGCCCCCACAATGCGGGTGAAAAATTGAAGCAAACCTGGAAATGAAATACCAAAAATTGCAGTTCCACCCTCATCCACTGGGGGCTGGTGTCAGAAGCGAGCAAATCCTCATTGACTCCCATGTTAAAAATACCAATTTCACAGCAGAAATAAACTTGTTTACAGCCTGGTACCAAAACATGATTTTGGTTTAAATGATCTAGTTTACACTCATGACAGCTCTGAGGGGGGTGAATTTTTTTCTCACTCTTCTGTTTAAGTGTATTAAAAGCCTAAAATTCTGTATAATTAATGAGCATCAGACCCACGTGAACACAGAGCTAGCTCCGTGGAAAGGCCTCAGTAGAGCCTCGGTCTGGCTTGGAAACTGCTCTGGGATTTTGTGTCTCTGTGTTTGTGTATTCTTGTTTGGATATTATTTGTGCAATTGTTGGACTAAATGACTTGCTGTGGCATTAATTGCACTAATAGAGCGTCCAAGGAGTCTCCACTTCATTTTTTTCGGTAAGTAAAATTATATTTATGTATTTTAGGTCACTGCCGAGCTGAGCTTAGATTTTAACATGTACTGTTTAACCATGAAATTTAAATGTAATAGGGTAAAACCCAGTGCATTTAACGTAATGCTGCACTTTAGAAAATGGGTTGAAATATAACATGTTGGTGGAGCTGGGTTCCGACTATCGGCTTGTGGAGCTCTCGGGAGACTTGATGTTTTCCACCCGGTTCTCCCCTCCCCTCATCTCGGCGCATCTCTGTCTGATCGCGGCTTCTGTCTGCTGCGCGGCTGCCGGCTTGTGGAGCTCTCGGAGACCTCTGTGTTCCACCCGGTTTTACCCAGCGGTCAGCCCGGCGTATCTCTGACTCAGAAGCTCTGGTGTTGTGCACAGTTAACTCCGGTTGTAGCTAAGTTGCTACCTTCGTTAGCTTAGCTCCCACCTCCGCATTAGCTTTGGGTTAGCTTGTAGCTAGTTCGACCGGGTGTCGTCAGTTGATCCCAGCCTTACAGCCCCACCCTCAGCTCCACCTCTTTTGCCTTTTATGGAATTGTCTGGGCTTGACGCAACCTAGGACACGGTCAAAATGGCGGTGGTGGCTACCTCCATTTATCTTCAAAAATTTGTTATTGGAGCCTATGGAAACCCAATGTCCAATATTTATATGTTGATGGGTCCGACGTGTGTACAGTGAGGGGTGTCAGATCGCATCCGAGAACTGGATCGTACAGTGTGAGCACGTGGCTCGTGAGATCTGCTCTGCGAGGAAGTCGTACAGTTTGAGCTGAAGCTGAGTACTACGAGTGAAAAAGTCGCACAGTGTCCGCCTAGCTTAAATCCAACTGCTGAAGTGTCTCCCCAGCCATCATTAGTTCCTACAGGAGCGGTTCATCACCAACTCAAACAAATCTGCTCAATTTTTTCTTAAGTTCAACAGAACGGATGGACACTCTGAAGTTGCAAATGCGGTATTCTGGCCACAGGGGGCGGTGGGGGTCTGAGTGACATTTCATTAACCCTGTTTTAGCACACACTAGCTCATGAAAATGATTTAAAAATATGAAAAAGTTCTAAAGTATCTCTTGAATTTTTTTCCTGGTAAGACTTGCACGCAGAGACAGAAACACACCTGATCGTCATGAACGTCTTTGAGCGTGTAGCTGACAACACCGATCCCCATGTTGACCAGGTCAGAAGAGGCAACTTTGAAAACCTGTTCAGAGAACTTCTTACGGTCCTGGTAGATCTCCTGGATTAGGATTAGGGTGATGGTTATTAGAAGAAGGTCAATCAAAACAACTTGAGACTGTCCAAACACAAACCTCCACAGTCAAATGAGCGATGATGGCTCGCTGGTGTCCCTCCAACGTCTCAAGAGCAATCTGAGCCACCTCCGCTTCAGACTTCCCCATGAACATCTGACAGGCAGTCGCCAACATGTCTTTGTTCTGACCCTGAATCTTCACCTAAATTAAACGAGAAACGAACCAAGACATCTGCATCTCAGGAAACATTTAAGGTTTACATTTTCTGCCTTGCTACATTATTATTGTACCAGTTAGATGTTCCACGTCGCACATGACAAAACCGAGTCACTTCCTTCAATTGAGAATAAATGACTCAATATTATTTAATTTTCTTCACTCTGCATTGGCTAACATCTTTAAATGTTTTTAAGCAACAACTTTCCCTGTTATATTCACTTTTTAAGGAATTCAAATTAGGGATGCACCGATACGATACTGGTATCGGTATCGACACCGATACCAATATCAGTATCTGTATCGGTAAAAGTTATCCGATACCAGGAACCGATACCGATGCAGTTGCTTGAAAATGGCTTCACTGTAACTTGTCATTTCTGTTCACCTAATATTTTAGTTTTGTGATGATTTCCATTAATATATTTTACTTTTTATCTACCTCACAGTCTTTTCCTGTTGAAAGCAGAGAAGAAAATAAAATCTGTATTCCAAATCATTGCATTTTTTGTGTGGTGGAAGTATCGGTATTGGTAATCAGTATCGGCGAGTACTCCGATCCAAGCATCTGTATCGTATCGGTTTGGAAAAAAGTGGTATTGTTGCATCCCTAATTCAAATGTGACCGTCTCAAAACGAACCAAAAGGTATCCGATCAAGTTTACCTGGGCGATACCAGTCACAGAGATAGGGACCCCATGGCGAGTGTAGACTTTGTCACTCTTTACATTTAGAGTCAGAGTGTTGAGCGTAATTCTGTAAATAACAGAAGCAGGTGGCACCAATGAGACTGAATAATCAGAAATGATGATTAAGTGGAGCTGAAGAGCCACAACAACACAAGCTGGTTTATTTATTAGACAAGGACTCTGAACCACACAGCTTATAATGTCCACACAGAGAAGGAAATGACAGAATGGGATTACCTCTGGATCTTTTGTATACAAGGGATGACAAACACTCTTCCTCCAGCTATCATTAGAGGTGGAGAGCGGCCAAAGCCTAGAGAAGAGGAGGAGGGGCAGCCATGTAACATAAATATCATGTTTTTAAAACACACAACCAGCTGCTTTTAGTATCAAGTTAAACGATTGGAGAACAAATTACAACAATCTGAGTGTCACATGTTACAGCTACTCTGAACTGGCGGGAAGCATTACTTAATCTGAGGACATAATTATGTCACCAACATGACTCGCCTACCTCGTGTACACTCATAAAAGTGATTTATCCTCTGACCTTGTGTTTTTTTGTTTCCAACAATAAAGGGCTGGGATGTAGTATTACAAATTAGAGTACTATGTTTTTTGCTCTTTTAATGCCATTATAACAATCATTAGTCCCTTACCAGACACCACCATGGCTTCATTGGGTCCACATGTGTAAAACATTTTGACTCCTGGGGGAATTTAAAGAGGAAAAAAAACATTAAAATGAAAAAAAGTTTCAATAAAGAAAAAAAAGTGCTGCAAAATCCTAATTACTAGAGACGTGTCCAAATAAAATGTCTATACTAAGCCATTATAAGGCTAATAAAATGTATAAAATCGGCCATTAATTCAGCATAATTGGCTGAATCAATTTCCATCCATCCATTGTCTGAACCCGCTTGTCCATGTAGGGTCGTGGGGGGGCTGGTGCCTATCTCCAGCGGTCAACGGACAATCAGGCGGGGACCGGGGTAAGCCCTGGACAGAGAGCCAGTCCATCGCAGGGCAACACAGAAACACACAGGACAAACAATCACACACACACACACACACACACACACACACACCTAAGGACAATTTTGACAGACCAGTTAACCTAACAGTCATGTTTTTGGACTGTGGGAGGAAGCCGGAGTAGAACCGGGTACCCGGAGCAACAGCTCTAACCACTGCGCCACTGCACAGCCTGGCTGAATCAATTAGATTCAAAAATCTGATTTTTTTTTGGGGGGGGGGGGGGGGGGGTCTGTGAATGCACCATTGCTAAACAGCAATACAAAAACTAAAACTTTTCTCAGTTTGCCCAATCTGTAACTTCCAGAATCATAATCTGCAAGTTCATCAAAAAATTAAAAATAAAAGTACCAGTACATCTCTATCTGGTACTGCGTTATAACACAATATAATACTGAAAGGACTTCATTTGTATATAAATCAATATGTACTACCTAAAATATTATTAATGTAAAAATATCAACAGAGAAGTGAGGTTGAAGCATTACCGCTATGCAAAAGTAGCAGTTAGATAATGAAGCATCATGGAAATGCTTCACATCACTGTAGCTGATGTAAATGTAGTGAGATTATTCATGTAGTTGGACCTGTTATGGAGTAATCTAGAGATGTAACTCAGACAGATTGGTAATGCCAGAGGTCAAAATTAACATTTCAGAGATTTTAATCATTTCATTTCTAATTTGTAATCTCCTAAAACACAAGTAGAGGAACACAATGTACCATAATCCCACATAGACGGAATTTTGTTAAAGTACAGCAAAAAGTACAGATAACAACTAAAAGAATACTTCAAATGTATTCAAGTACTGTGACCAATTTATATATATGTATAAGTAGCTCAAGCTAGCACCGACATATGGTAACGCAGTCATTTGTGCTTTCAGCAGCTCCTCCCTCTCTAAACAAACATCCACTCGCTGGTTTTTCTTAAAACTAAATCTGAGATGCGTTGAAGACCTACGAACACCAAGGGTTTTACGTGAGATGTTGCAATCCGTACACACAGGAAGCTAGCTAAACGGGTTAACTCGTGATTAAATATCTACGCTATCGATGTACTAAAGAGCACGGCAGCAGATGAAACTGTTTACATTTCACACCATTAAACTTTACTCCAAACCATTTGTTTTCGTTTCAGCTTCCGTTATTTGGTTAATATAAAGCAACTCACCAGTTCAGAATGAAATTAAACCAGTTTCCAGGTTGCTAAGACGTCGCTCCTCAGTAGGAATCAAAAAAATGTCTGTTGTTTAGAGGGGAATGTTTACTGACCACGCCCATCCTCACTGCAAACCATTTATGTGATTTGTTTACTGACATCTAGCGGTGGGCGCGAGAACTGCAACTCACAGATGATGTGATAGACAGACAGACAGACATGTTATCAATCAGTACTAAAAGAACGGGAAAAAGCTATTCTGAATAAAAACAATTGTTGCACATTGCAGTCCATACATGAAGAATAGAAATAAAAAAATCAAGTCAATCCTAAAACAACAAGTCACGGTGGATGGAAAACTATAACTATAATTTGATGTTGATGATAATGTTTAATTGTAATTAATTCTGTCAAATAATGTTGAAGCTCTATATTTACCGGTCGATCTAATTCTCACTTATGGTCACAAGCTTTGGAGACCGAAAGAATGAGATTGCGGTTACAAGCGGCCAAAATGAGTTTTCTCTGCAGGGTGGCTGGGCTCTTCCTTAGAGATAGGGTGAGAAGCTCAAGCTCGGTCATCTGGGAGGGGCTTGAAGTAGACCTGCTGCTCCTTCACATTGAAAAGAGCCAGTTGAAGTAGCTCATGCATCTGGTTAGGATGCTTCCTGGATGTTTTCCTGGTGAGGTTTTTCCGGGCATGTCCAAACAGGAGGAGAACCGAAGAAAGACCCAGGACATGCTGGTGGGAATATGTCTCTCACCTTGGGATTCCCTTGGAAGAGCTGGCCCAAGTGACTAGGGAGAGGGAAGTCTGGGCCTCCCTGCTTAGGCTGCTGTCCCCAATGGAAAATGGATGGATGGATGAATAATGCTGATAGTTGTGTTTTTGTGAATGATTGTGAAGCAGAAAATCCATTCATTGATTTTTTTTGTATCTCCCTTTTTCTGTAAGGGTCATGAGGAGCTGTTACAACTGAGCAGGCAAGGGGAATGGGACACTGTGGACAGGTCACAAGTCCATCACAGACATGCAAGTGGAGACAAACAAGACAAGCAACCAATCACACACACACACACACACACACACACACACACACACACACACACACGTAGGAAAAAGAGTCGCCCATCAAATCAAACATACATTTTTGTTCTGTGGGGCCCATCTGTGCCACCTATACACACAATCAGCCAATCAGATCTAGTCATACTGTTTTATTGGTCTAACCAACGTTTTCAGTATATTATCAAAATAAAGAAAAGACAGAGTTTAAAGGAGCTAACTGTCATTCTGCCCCAACTGCACACTGGAATTGCTGCCATCTGTTTTCTCACACAGTCGCAGCGATGATCAGCCCCGGCTGACACTAAAACAGCTGTAATGCATATTTCTGGACACCAGCTGGTAAAATTCTGGTCAATCTCCTTTTCCAATTCCCACTCCCTGATCTGCAGCCGACACGTTCCTCCTCCCCCTGCCGGTCCTCTCGGCCAATCGGCGCGTGCAGAAGCGTGTTGTGGGCGTGGCCGCGCCCCTCTCTGGAGACGCTCCAGCCTTATAAATCCATTGTCCCCCCGGTCTCTTGTCACAAGTCGGCTCGTGCTCGTCCACTTTAATCACATCGCACCTTTTTTCCCGTGAAACCTTCGCACCCATCATGAGGGAGATCGTGCACATCCAGGCCGGCCAGTGTGGTAACCAGATCGGTGCCAAGGTAAGCTCAGAAAATCTGTATAAAATGTTTCTGTGGAATAAAACAGGAGTTACTTTTGCGTTACTTTGTCTAAAGCATTCACAATTACTGTTATATGGATTTATTAACTGATGAAGATAAAGAAATTTACATAAATATGTAATGAAATAAAAAAGTAGTAATGGTCCAGTCTTTGTGAGCACTGCAGTGCACACAACACCGGGTGTGTCTGCGTCCCAGCTCCTAGGATTCAGCCCATCTCAACGCACTGATTTAGGGAAAAAGACAAAGGAAAGAGGGGAAAATGACTCTTCTTCTCATGTCAGACCCCCACAGCCTGTGGAGCCTTCACTCTGCTTGCTTTGTCTGGCCCAGGCTGATATGACTGGTGTTTCAGACAATGAGTGGAAGTCTGGATTAAAGGCCTAGTTACCCCCCACCCCCAGATGTCTATGAATCAATAGCACACATTGATTAGATTTGAGTTCTGCAGACTGCAAAGGCAGACTGCAGTCGAGCTATTCTAGTGGGACGTGATGGAAGGGTGTGGCATGAATAATTGTGAGAAGACAAGTCATTCTCTCCTTTTTTCTGCAAAAAAACACCCTTATGTGTTATTTACTATAATATTATATTCATCTGATATAATTTGTCATTGCATCATTTAATAGTAAAGTCTAAAATGTTCATCAATGACATCACCCGCCCAGTCTGTCTCTTAGCAGCCGCAGTCTGCAACAATAGGTCTGGGTGGCCCATTATTTCTGCTGTCTTATTGTCTTATTTTTGTTTTACAACTGATAATTTGTAAACGCATGCACACGCTCAAATCCATGCCCTGGAATTAAAAACCCATGAACATTAGCCCGGATTAATAAAGGGAGATCTTTCTGGCTGAGATGTCCTGGAAAGCAGAATCTTTCCTCCCCTAACCAAATTAAGAGAAGGGTGGGGGAGGAATGGAGGAAACAGCTGATGCACAGCGGACGCAAAGTCTCCATTTCCAGTGGCCTTAATGGGCAATAGTTGTCTTCCCAAAGGCACACAACAGATGGCCTTTATATTTTATTAGACATATTTTTATCAAGCTTGTACTGTTAATCATTTTCCCTTGTTCGGGTCACCGCTTTGGCCTGTATGATCGGCTAAAACTACTAGGAGTGGTCTATCAGAGAGCCAACTCGTTTGTTTCCGTCCCCTGGGGGCTCATCGACTCCGATGTGCAGGATTTATGACGGCCAGAGATGCTGAGTGGCTGCACGGTGGTCAAATGGGTCAGGGTGTGGCCTTGCTTTTCCTGCTCATTGTCCTCATTCTTTCACTGTGATCTTCATCATCACTGATGGGCCGTCCATCAGTTTCTGTCTTCTCACTTCTGCGTCTCTAGCATCGCTCACCCTCGTCTCGTGACATTTAAATCTCAAGATTTGTACTCCACAGCCGTTTGTCTGCAGTGCAGCCGGCGTTAACGGGAGGCTGTAAAGTCCCATTTTGCAGCTGAATACCATAAATCTAAGTGAATGTGTAAAAAAGCAGGAAATGCAGACATGCAGAGGATTTCCTACAGTATCTTAGTGGATTTAATGCGTACCCAGCCTCCCAGAGCTCCGTGGGCTTTTAAAGCCGGAGCAGGACTTGAATACAAATTTAAAGGCCCTCATTGTCCTCGGTGTTGTGTGAGACGCCTTTTTCATTTTCAGTTTGGCCTTCGGAGTGATCAGTGGCTCCTTTGTGCTCCTCCTCCTTCACGTTTTACATATGAAAGCGTTGCTTAGCTTTCTGCAGAGTCATGAGCTGGCAGCTTTGGAAATATTTGCAGCTGCTCTGCAGGAAACTGCTTGAATCCTAGCGTATCGTCCAGAATATAAATATGCAAACCCATTGCTGTTATCCTCATTTAAAGTCCCAAAAGGCCTGTAGCTTAGAAGTGAAATGAGTCCCGTCATGTGATTCCTGTCTGCAGTTCTGGGAAGTGATCAGCGACGAGCACGGCATCGATCCCACTGGGACGTACCACGGAGACAGCGACTTGCAGCTGGACAGGATCAGCGTCTACTACAACGAGGCCACAGGTAGACCGTCGTCCTGAAAGGCTTTTCATAACATAAGATGTGCTGTTCCATAATATTTTTGTCCATTGCATTGCTAAGCTGCGATGTAAATGTTACGGTTTCCTCTTTTCCCTTCTGCTCTCCCGTTCACTTTCCTGTGGAGGAGGTAAATATGTTCCCAGGGCCATTCTTGTGGATTTGGAGCCCGGGACCATGGACTCTGTGAGGTCTGGACCTTTTGGGCAAATCTTCAGACCTGACAATTTCGTCTTTGGTGAGTGTCTTCCAGAGAAATCCTTTTACAATATCTGTGATCTGTATGAACTTAGAAAACAAAGTCTCACTTCTTCCACAGGCCAGAGTGGTGCTGGAAACAACTGGGCCAAGGGTCACTACACAGAGGGGGCCGAGTTGGTGGACTCGGTCCTGGATGTGGTCCGTAAAGAGTCCGAGAGCTGTGACTGCCTGCAGGGCTTCCAGCTCACCCACTCTCTTGGAGGTGGGACTGGATCTGGAATGGGAACCCTCCTCATCAGCAAGATTCGTGAGGAGTACCCAGACCGAATCATGAATACCTTTAGCGTGGTGCCTTCCCCCAAGGTGACCCGTCCTTGTGATAGTGCCTGAAAAGTTCTGTTTTTAATTAGAGTTTGTTTAGCCGTAGGGTCTTCTGCTAACATCACAAGACCGAATCAACACTGTGTGTGTTTACAGGTGTCGGACACGGTGGTAGAACCCTACAACGCCACCCTATCAGTACATCAGCTTGTAGAGAACACAGATGAAACTTACTGCATTGACAACGAGGCTCTGTATGACATTTGCTTCCGCACACTGAAGCTGACCACACCCACCTATGGTGACCTGAACCACCTGGTCTCTGCCACCATGAGCGGTGTCACCACATGCCTGCGATTCCCAGGCCAGCTCAATGCTGATCTCCGCAAATTGGCTGTCAACATGGTGCCTTTCCCTCGTTTGCACTTCTTCATGCCAGGCTTTGCACCCCTGACCAGCCGGGGCAGCCAACAGTACCGCGCCCTGACCGTTCCCGAGCTCACCCAGCAGGTGTTTGACGCCAAGAACATGATGGCTGCGTGCGATCCTCGTCACGGCCGCTATCTGACCGTCGCCGCTGTGTTCCGAGGCCGCATGTCCATGAAGGAGGTCGACGAACAAATGCTCAACGTTCAGAACAAGAACAGCAGTTACTTTGTTGAATGGATCCCCAACAACGTCAAGACCGCCGTCTGTGACATTCCACCTCGTGGCCTTAAGATGGCTGTCACCTTCATAGGCAACAGCACGGCCATCCAGGAGCTGTTTAAGCGCATCTCTGAGCAGTTCACAGCCATGTTCCGCCGCAAGGCCTTCTTGCATTGGTACACAGGTGAAGGTATGGATGAGATGGAGTTCACGGAGGCAGAGAGCAACATGAACGACCTGGTGTCTGAGTACCAGCAGTACCAGGATGCTACTGCTGAAGAGGAGGGCGAGTTTGAGGAGGAGGCTGAAGACGATGCTTAAAGATCAAGATGTGAAGATGAAGAACACAAAGCCAAAATGAAACTTTCAATGGAACAAACCACAAATAACCAAGAAACCATGTTGGTGTCAATAGCATTACTAGGATTCAACGTTAGCTTCCAGTAGTTTTCTCCTGTCATTAAGTACAAATAAACCAGTCAAACGCAAACTGTATCGTTCTCATTTTTTCATTAAAATCAACAATTAAAATGTGTTCTTTCCTAATAACGTCTCCAGCATCAAGTTGACATCAATGAAAATGTATCAATTAAATGTACATGCTAATGTTAAATGGATTCATCCATAATGACCTCACTGAATGGAAAAATAGGCAAGATGATACAGTTGAGGAACACACATTAAACAAATTGTGAGAAGTAGTAAAAAGATAGAACTGCCATTCAATGACTTTTATTTGAGTTGTAATAAATCGTTTATAGTATAAGTTTAAAACCATTTGGTCCTTTTATGAGGACTGGAAATTACAAAATGAGAATGCTAATGGAATCAAGCCAGCTAGCTTCTGTTACTGTTTATGTAAAGATTTCTTTCACTTAAATATGCAGTTTTCTCCATGCAGGAAATGATCATTTCAATGAAATGTTTAAAATACTTAAATATGAACTTGATCAACTCACATAAATGTACTGTAAACAGCAAATTAGAAAAATCCCATCTGTTTCGTAGTGGTTTCAGATTTTTATTGAACAAAAGCCAAAGTCAGGCAATTGATAAATTTTTGTGATTAATCTACATTTTTCCTACAACCACAAGATGCAAAAGAAACGGTTAAGAAAACAGCCAGGATTCACTTGTGTGAATTGGCGCTGAAACTAAGGACACAAAAATAAAGTTTTTGATTTTTTGATCCAATCAGACGCGGCTTTAGTGAGGAATTTACCGAGTATCCAATCAGAATAAGATTGAAAAATGATTGGCAGCTGCAATAGCCAATCGCTAAAAACGCGTTTTGTGGGCGGGGTCACGTCTTCTCTCGTGTATTTACATTTTTTGTTTATGGCCCCTTTCTACAGTCACTGCCCTCGAGCCAGGAAAGCCTGTATGCTCAGGTATGTATCAGAGTATGATGTGTTTATAAGAAGCTACTTTTATATTGTTAGATTAAAAAGAAACCGCATCTCAGATTAACAAATTAAACGGCTAAAGCCACAACTCGCAAAATCGCACGTACTTCCTCTATACTTTCAAGATAACGGTCAAGGGACTTTTTAGGTAGGTTTATTTTAAGTTTTATTGTAGTGGTAAATTATGTTTAAACAGCGACACAAGAATTCGCTGACAAAATAAAATGTTTTCTGGGATGAGTTATGGAAGTTATTGTGACATGAAGCTAACCGTCAACGTTTATAATTCGACCGGAAGTGTAATTGCCGTGATTTTGACAAAACTGAGGCACGTTTAATAAAAGTTGTATCAGCTTCATTAGTTTTTGTTTTAATAATTTATATAAGCTGCATATTTGCGAGTTCACACCAAAAAAACAAAAACAAAACAACAACCGTGAAGTGAATCATTTTTATTTATTAGTTCTAAGCTAGAATGAGTTAGCCACACAGGCTAACGTTAGCTGCTCCGAGCCCCACCGTTTCAGTCCTTCCAGTGCTAACACTGGAAAGTTGGCTTTTAGATGCTAGCTTTGAACTATACGTCTACTCTCATTGGTGCTAGCCCTCCTGTCTGATCCGTTGCTAGGTATGGATGCAACTCAGGCGATCAGTGACTCAATCTTAGAATCAGAGAAGGAAGAAAATGAAGAGAATGAAAATAGGAGAGGAAGTCCTTTGGCGAAACTGTGCATCCTAAAGAATCCACACGTCCCTGAGGCAGGTAAGTGGTCCAGCATCTTTATTAATACACCTATGATATTGAAGTTTATGAATTCAAAGATACTTTATTAATCCCAGAGGGATTAGTATAGTTGAATAAACATTGAGCATGATTTTTCTTGTGTCACCCAGAGTTGCCTCTATTTTTGGGAGATAACGTGTTGGGCCGTGACCCCAGCCTCTGCACACTACCCATGGCTGCATCATCCGTGTCCAAACAGCACGCCACCATCTGCATCTCTGTTTACCGCAGAAGAGGGGCCCGCTGTGACGTAGACATGGAGGCTTTGGTCTGGGACCTGGGGAGCATGAATGGGACGCGTAAGGGGCGGTTAAAGCTGACTCCTAATGTACGCTATGCCCTCAGTGAAGGTGACAGCTTGGTTTTGGCCGACATCCCATGTCAGTATGTTAGATGGGGTGGAGTCTCTTCTCAAGATGACATGAAGATCCCAGGGTGTGTTCTATCAGGAGTGAAGGGCACATTTCCTGATGCTCCAGGAGGAAAACAGGGTGACACTGACAGAGGCAGCAAGAGAGGTGTCAACAGTGGAGCGAAGGCGACGAAGACTCCTGTCAGAGGCAGTTTTCTGTCCTTTGAGCAAACTCCAACCCAGCCAAAGGGCTGCTTGGTCCCTGATTCTGACTCCGACTCAGACGGTGAAAGAGATGGTGGAGGAATCGGACACCAGAAGACACGAGGTATGAGTGTAAATATGATAAAGTGTCAATTAACTCTATATATTCTTTTTGACATGTTGTATTTATATTTCCAGTGTCTGATTCTGACTCCCACATATCCAGTCCCAACTCATCTGCATTCCTAAGTCCCTCAAACAAAATTGTTCCCGAAAGGTAAACAAACATTTGATATATATTTTAATCAGTGAAATGAATCCCCTACTCCTGAAAATTGTTCTGTTTTCATTGTTTTAGTGAGGACGAAAGCCCCGTCACACTGTCCTTTTCCTCTCAGCCATCCAGACACGTCAGTTTCAACACAGAGAAGTCAGATGTTTGTGTGGAGAGAAACAGGTCACCTAACGATGAAACTGATGGCAAAGGAGGGACAGCTTCTAAAGACAGCGGACAAAATCAAAATGGGGAGAGCAACGTGACCTTCAGAGAAGACGAATCCCTCGTGTCCACGCCAGAAGTCTCCAGAGAAGCCATCCCTGATTTCAACATGGATAGTGACACTGATGTGGAGGCTGAGGAGGAGGGGGTGCCTGCCGAGCCTCTGAGCTTTAATACCAGTCAGCGAGCTGATCAGCGATCAGACGAACCTTCTGAAGCTCACTCAGATGAAACGACCAAACCCGCTCATGTTGCATCAGGTATCCAGCCTGAGGACATCATCATAGACAGTGACACTGATGATGATGATGATGTGTCAGATGCAGTTATCAAAGCCTCATCATTTCAGGATGCACACACAGCTGATGCAGCTTCTTCAGTGCAGCTAAAAGATTTCCACCTAGACAGCGACACGGATGTCGAGGAGGAAATCAAATCAAATTTGAACCCTGCTGCTGCAGCCGGTGACCCCTCAGTGGCTGCTGCCACTGCAGAATCCAGCAGCCCAGCAGCTGCAGGACCTGATCTGGATATTCTGTCTGACAGCGACACAGACATGGAGGAGGACTGTCTGTTAGTGAAGCCTCTTGTCACCGCAGACCCGTCAGAAGTTTCTGGTAAAGCGCCAGGAGCTCTTGAGTCAGATTCAGATGAGGACACGGATGTGGATGAACCCTGCGTGACACACGCTGGAGACAGTCCAGCTGAGCTCAGAGTGGACGGCGACGCCAGTGCGGAGGATCAGGAGGAGGATGCTGAAGAGGCGGGTGAAGACCACATCCTTCATCTCCCTCCGGTTCCAACTCTGCAGAACTACTCTACCCCTGTTCAGGTTTCAGGTAACTGATGGATCGTCACAGACCAAACCACCACATACACGATGGTAAAACAGCTAAAAGTTGCTTCGGCGTTTAAATATATTCTATTAGTAGATTTATTTATTCACTTAATAAATGTTTCATTGAAGTACGTTTTATTTTTATTGCACACGTATTTAAACTGCTTGTTTTTCTGCAAACTTCCTCAATTGTTAAATTTACCACAAAGTTATTAATTGTAATGAACAGCTAACAAATAATCTCAACTCAACTCTATTTGTAAGTCGCGCCTTACGGGCAAAAAGATGCCACCAAGGCGCTACACAGATCAAGTAAAAACATAAAACAGTAAATCCAGAAGATACAAACATTGTGTCACAAGATGCAGATAAAAATGCAGTGAGTGCACAAATCGCTATAAGTAAAACAATAAAAACTAGTTAGAAAGGTTAAAAGACATCATAAAAGTAGGTTTTTAGTCTTGCCTTAAAAACGCAACAGAGGTGGAGGCCCTTATGCTGACAGGAAGCTCGTTTCAAAGCTTAGGACCTGCCACAGCAAAGGCCCTATCACCACATGTCTTTAGGCGCGATCTTGGGACCGAGAGGAGCACGAGGTTCTCCGAGCGGAGTGACCGTGTGGCGGTGTACGGTTGCAGCGGTGACACCAAGTAAGGAGGGGCCAGACATTTAACGTTTTAAAAACCAGCAAAAGTATTTAAAAACGAAACCTTACATCAGCGGGCAGCCAATGGCTTTCAACAAACCAGGCTCCCTCTCTCTTCTGGACCAATGTTTGGCTGAAGTGAGGGTTTGGCTTGCCAACAGTTTCCTTAAGCTGAATGATTCTAAGTCTGAGGCACTCCTCATGACCGCTAACAAAACCACACACGTATCTTCTGATTTGGACACTCTCCCATATGACCTCAAGCAGTGTGTTACCAACCTGGGGGTGAAACTGGATACACACTCTTCCATGGGCCCTCAGATTAACGCAGTGGTCAGATCATGTTTTTATCAGCTGCGCAGACTAGTTTGCTTAAAACCAATCCTGAAACGAGCACACCTGGAATCCGTAACTCACGCTTTTATCATCTCCCAACTGGATTACGCAAATTCCATTTTAATTGGTTTACCTGCCTCCGCTCTTAACAGGCTTCAGGTCGTACAGAACGCGGCAGCCAGGTTTTTAACAAACACCCCTAGAAGAGACCGTATCACACCTGTACTGGCGCAGCTCCACTGGCTACCCGTAAACTTCAGAGTCAAGTTTAAAATCCTGACTTTTGTTTTTAAGGCCCTGAACGGTCTGGCTCCGGATTACCGGTCTGATCTTGTGACTCGTTATGTGCCAAACCGGGCGTTGAGATCTGCCGATTGCCTGCTGCTTCGCGTTCCAACAATGAAATGCAAAACGCGGGGGGCAGCGTGCTTTTGTCTACGCTGCTCCGACACTCTGGAATGCTCTTCCTCTTTCAGTGAGGCTGGCACCATCCCTCCTCCGGTTCAAGTCGCTACTGAAGGCTCACTTTTACGACCAGGCATTTTTAAATCCCTGACTTATATTATTTTACTATGTGTCTTTTAACCGTGATCATCTGCCTTGTTGTGTATTTTAATGTTGACCGTGTTTTGTTTTATATTGTGTTTTTACTTTTTGTTCTGTACAGCCCTTTGGTTGGCTGCCATGATGTTTTTAAATGTGCTTTATAAATAAAGTTGGTATGGTAATGAAGCGCAGCCAGGACAGGAATAATGTGGTCATACTTGCGCCTGCCCTCTAAAAATCTGGCAGCAGCACTCTGCACCATTTGCATCCTGGCCCTTGAGCCCTTGCTCACACCGAATCAAACAGAGTTACAGTAGTCCGATCGCACCGTGATAAAAGCATGGACTACCGTCTCAAGATCATGTCGTGACAAGAAAGGTTTAAGGAGGAGGAGATCACTCCATTGATGTGTGTATCAAAGCTAAGGGCGCTATCCAGTTTAACACCAAGATTAGTCACTGATGCAGTCAGCTGGCCATTAAATGACCCACAGTCCGTTAGGGAAGAGTCACAATGTCTGCTTGGAGAAAACAGTATAGCCTCTGGTTTGTGATCATTTAGGCGCAGAAAGTCTTAACTCATCCAGGTCTTGATCTCCCTCAAACAGTTCATAAAAATAGAAATATTTGCAGACTTAAGCTTAAAACAAGCAAAACACGAGAGGAAAGTAGCTCTGATCGTTTCTCGGTTCATCTAAGCGCCTGAATTTCACGTTTGGTGGATTTCTCTTTGTTACGCAGGCTTTTCTGTATGAACTGTTGGAACGTAAACAATGTTTAAATTGCCCTTTAATTTGTATTTCAATGCATTTCTTTCAGGGGAGGTCGAGGACTTGGAGACTCAGGCCTTCACAAGCACGCCGTCGGGTCTGTTTAGATGTAAGTAAAACGTTTTAATACAGTCTGTTGCCACGAACACAAAGATGCAAATTTCCAGAACTGCGCTGCTCTGGGTGGCTGCATGTTGGAGTAGCTCTGTTGACTATATGTAAGTTTAGCCTTTTCTTGGACATTTTTTCTTCTAGTTTCTCAAGAAAAACGGTATTTTTTTTTATATTTTACTTTTCTGTTTCTGGTGCTGTGAAGCTTGGAGGATTTTTGCTGCTATTTTTTTAGCTTTTTGAGCATTTGTTATGATGCGTAACCGTGGCAACAAGCTGATTAACATTGGAAAGGCTGAAATAATACCTCAATTGTGCAGGGGTTCTGCTGTCCCCCAGGCCTCGTTTTGGTTTAAACCCCTTCGTTTTGATGAGTTGACTTTAATAGTTTTAACTCTGAGTGATCCACGTGGATCTTCGTTTGTTAAGGTTAACTTGGTTTAGGGCTGCTCGATTATGGCAAAAATAATAATCACGATTATGGTGACTGAAATTGAGATCACCATTATTTAGGACAATTTTTCAATTTATGTTGATTTTATTTGTTTTTATTCAGTCATAAAATTGCTCAGGGCACAATCAGGACAAAAATAAGAAACAAGATGATCACTAAAAGAACTCCTGATTCCCAGGATAAAAAGACCAATATACTTATAGCTCATAGTCTATGACCCAAGGGCTATAGACCTTGGTTTAACTCATTTAAGTCTAACCAGTACTGACCCAAATACCAATATCTTGCAAATACTGACAGCAAGAATTATACACCGGCATTTATAACAAATACATGCAAATAAATTGATGTTCACAAAATGTTGCATAACATTTATTTAGTCGTGTCAAGGTGCTGTAGGAGAGTGCACTAGCACCGTGTCCTCAGATAGATTAGTCATTATTTATCAGTGTGAGGAACTTATTTCTACCTTATTTATAAACAATTTATTTACAGGTCCATCAGTTAAAGTAATAATTGTCCCAACCACAGCTGCACCCCCCACCCCCCGGTCTCACAGCAATCGGGGCAAGCTGCACGTGTGTTTAGCATGCTGCACGCGCACATTTAGCCGTTTTTATCGGCTCAGGAGTCCGCAGGTGCGGTGTGTGTGTCACTCACTCTGGTTACTCCAACAAGGAGCCGGCTCTGAGAGCTGTTTCTTTAGCGACCGACACATCACTACATCATTCCCTTTCCTAATGTTGTGAAGAACGGTCCGGAGCGCAGGCGGAGTGTTTAGCTAACCTGCAGGAAACGTCGACGGCAGTTATCCAGAAAGTAGCTAAGGGTTACCAGAGATGTTTCTGAGGTGTTCGCTAGGTACTTTTAAGTTAAAAAGTCAAGAAGGGGGTCTGAAAAGCTGCTAGAAATAGCGTCAAAGTCACTAAGTTGGCAACACTGTGGAGGGGCACTTCATTTGCAACTCAGGGCAGCGCAAGCGGGAGGAGCAAATAATTGGCTTGTTTTGTTTTTTATAATCGTTAAAAACTCAGATCGTAATCGTGATTAAAATTCGATTAATTGAGCAGCCCTAACTTGGTTTGATGCAGTTTTATTGACTTTGGTTTTAAACACCTTCTGCTTTTAACATAAGTTTTAACCAGGTGTTTTTATAGTTGGTTATGGGTGTAATGTTGACCTTTTGAGAGTTTTGGTTTGTTTTGCATTATCTTTATAATGCTCGCCATCTGTTTGCTCGTTTTTAGAACCTTTTACAACAGTTGCAACCATTTTAAATCTACATTCGCATTTCTTATGTTACCCCCTCCTTCACATTTTAACATCTCCTGTCGGGGACGTAACACATGTATTAAAACTAGATCTTTGTTTTTTGATGTTTTAAAAAGTTGGAAAAGAGACAATAAAAGGTTAAAATCATTCATTGTGACATATCTGACCTGCATGAAGTCCAACTTTGTTATCATCTGAACTTTGCATCGTCGTCTTCCTCCGCTTATCCGGGTCCGGGTCGCGGGGGCAGCCTCCCAAATAGGGAGCTCCAGACCGTCCTCTCCCCGGCCACCTCCACCAGCTCCTCCGGCAGGACCCCAAGGCGTTCCCGGACCAGATTGGAGATGTAACCTCTCCAACGTGTCCTGGGTCGACCCGGGGGCCTCCTGCTGGCAGGACATGCCCCAAACACCTCCCCAGGGAGGCGCCCAGGAGCAAGAGCTGAAGGTCAGAGCTGGATGAATCTAGGAGGACCACATCATCCACAAAAAGCAGAGACGAGATTCTCCTGCCACCAAACTCCACACACTCCACACCACGGCTGCACCTAGAAATTCTGTCCATAAAGGTAATGAACAGAACCGGTGACAAAGGGCAGCCCTGGCGGAGTCCAACCCTCACCAGGAACAGTTCCGACTTACTACCGGCTATGCGGACCAAACTCACGCTCCTCTGGTAAAGGGACTGAATGTCCCTTAACAGAAAGCCACCCACCCCATACTCCAGGAGCGTCCCCCACAGGGTGCCCCTGTGGACGCGGTCATAAGCCTTCTCCAAATCCACAACCACATGTGGATTGGTTGGGCAAACTCCCATGCCCCCTCCATCACCCTTGCAAGGGTATAGAGCTGGTCCACAGTTCCACGGCCAGGACGAAAACCACATTGCTCCTCCTCAGTCTGAGATTCAACTATCGATCAGACCCTCCTCTCCAGTACTCTCTGAACTTTGCATCAATAAAAAACAAAGATGGATTTAAACCGTTTTAGTTGCTGAAATCAAGTAAAAATGAGAAAATTTCATTTCAAAACAAGTTTCTTCTCTTTCCTTGTGTTTGCAAAGTTCAAAATAAGTGATGCAACTCTAAATGTGATTCATAATCTTTTCTTTCTGTCTCCGTCCCATCAGGTCCTGCTTTAAATCCTGCTGTGCCGTTGTCCTCAGACAGCCCAGAGGATGAAGACTACGCTGAAGCTGAAACACAACCCTTTGTTCTTCAGACCAGAGATCGGCAAACAGCCGCAGACCCGAAGCCGTCCTCTGCACCGGAGCCCAAAGCAGACGACCCAAGAGGCTCATTTCAGCTGGGTTTGTCCGACAGCCGCCATCGAGCTTTGGCCACGGAGAACACCCAAGCTTACGTCTCAGCAGACGGAAGAGTAAACCTGGAGGAGACCCAGGCATATGAGGCCACCTCAAACCTCGACGCTACGCAGGCCTATGAAGAGGAAGAGGAGCCTGTCAGAGACTCTGAAGAGTCTGAAACTAAAGTTTGTGTAAATTTGGCGCTTGAAGCAACTCAAGCTTATGTCTCGGACTCTTGTGATGATTCAGATGAAGATAAGAGACAGGATGCAGCACCGACCGAGACTACAGAGCTCACAGATCATTCCTCTGCTCTTGCGACTGCTGAAACTCAACCAGTGCCTTCTTTTGAAGAAGAGAGCTTAGAAATTAGGAATCCAGTTTGTTCTGTGCAGAGCGTAGAAACCAAAGAGAGGGATCCGGCTCAGCCTCGAGAGAAGCACCTCTTTGAAGCAGAAACCCAGCCCATGTGTATGACGGACACGGAGGAAGGCGATGACGAAGACTCGACAGCACCACTGCAGCTTCAAGAGGATCCCACAGAGCCTCAAACGTGCTCGCCGTCGGCTCTAGCTGAAACCCAGCCCATGCATGTCGATGAAGGTGAAAATGACGACGATTCAGTGCCACTTAAAGCAAAACGGCTTTCTGTCGAAGAAGAGGAGTCACAAAGGCTGGGAGGTTCTGATGCTTATGTCGCTGAGACCCAACCCGTTTTTGTGAGCGAGGATGACGATGAAGGTGACTGGGGTCCACGCAGAAGAGAAGCCAAGCCGCCGCAGCTCGAAGAGGAGCAGACTCGGCCTCAGATCAGCTCTGATGTTTCGTCTCGGCCAGAAGATCCCGGAGAGGAAAACGACAGCGAGATCCTAGTTGTTCCACGGAAAAGGAAAGCCAAGCAGCTTCATATTGAAGATGAGAGCCAGCAGCTGCTGAGTTCTGCTGAAACACAGCCCACGCGTGGAGAAGATGTAGAAGCAGGTCCACAAGGAGGAGAGGCGATGCCACTGCAGCGGGACGAAGGGCAGATAAATCCGAGCACCGAGGTCGCTGGCGTCGACAAACATGATCACAAGGACGCAGTTACAGCAAAGCAGCACGATCTTAAAGAAACAACCGTCTCTGCCGAAGCCGATCCACCCAGTGTTTCAAACTCCAGGCAGACGAGAGCGAGATTAAGAGGAAAAGAAGATGCAGATGGTTCTGCATCTACAAAGAGACGGACCAGACAGGAAAGTAAAACGCTGCCTAGTACCAGAGGAAGTAGAGGAAAAGCCGTGACTCAGAGCGAGGAAGACGTGAAGCAATGCAAGCAGGCGAGAGGGAGAAAAAACACAAGACGGCAGGAAGATGAAGAGGATGACAACAAGATTATTGCAGCTAAAGAAGCAATAAAGGGGCAAAAAGAAGGAAACCTGGAACAAGACGAAAAGGAGAGCGAAAGGATGCACGCCAGTGTCACAAAAGAAAAACAGGAGTGGGTGGAGCAGGAGCGAAGAAACCAAGGAGAGCTGAAAAAGAAAGAAAAGGCATCTGCAGAGCGACTACAGGGGGGAGAGTTGGAGGAAAGCGAGGGGAAACGAGATGAAGAAGAGAAGCTGAATGTTTCTGCAAGACCTCGAAGGTCAGCGAGGAAAACTGCTCCGTGTGCAGCTGGACCAGAGCAGCCCTCAACCATTTCTACCCGGGAAGATTTCGCCGCGAGGAGAACCAGGTCTCACTCAAACTCTTCCAACTCGGTCAGTTCGGAAAGGTCTGCTTCAAGCGTCAGCGCACAGGAGAGTAGAGGACGAGGGAGAGGAGAGAAGAGGAGCAGCGAGGCGCTCCAGACACCCGTTACTAGAAGCAGCCGAAGAAGAACGACGGCCACCGTAGCTCCGATAGAGAAGGGCCGCGAAGCCGTCCGCTCAGAGATCTCCACCTGCAGTGAGAGCCCTCAGAACAGAGCGAGGGGCTGCAGGCAGCGGGGAAAAGGGAGGAAAACAGTTTCGGACCTCCAGAATTCCACAGAGAGGGTTGGGAAGACCGGGAGGGCTGAGGAATTGTCTTCTGAGGTTCTGCCTATGGGTGATGAAGATAAAGGAGATGCTCAACAGCCTGCCACCAGTAGGGGGCAGCAGCGAGTCGGTACAAATGCTAAGCACCAGTCGCATCAAGAGGAGGAATCAGTGGAGGAGAAATCTCCTCTGCCCAAGAGGAGGACCGGGGGCAGAGGTCATGTGGAGGAACCCGTAGCTCTGTCTGTCAGCGAGGAGGGTCGAAATAAGAGGAAAGGGAGGAAGAGTGAGTTGGAGGTGAACATGAAAGCAGATGGTGCCAGCGTTTTTAAAGGAAAAGCCCTGAAGGCAACAGAAAGAGAAGAAGGGAAGGATGAGCGAATCGAAGAGAGTTCCTCCACGGTCCAGGTGAGGAGAACAAGTAGAGCTTCCAGCGCTCAAGTGAAGAAGAATGCAAAGGAGCCTCCCCCTGGAGAGCCGGTGGAAGATGGTGAAACCATGGAGGTGCAGGCCGCTGAGAGGAGGACCAGGGTTCGGACAGCGAATAAAGAGGAGGTGAAGGAAGGTGGAACGTCTGCATCATCCATGAAGCAGGAAGCACCAGCAGTGAGTTTCACTCAGAAAGCAGATCTGTGATGTCAGGATTTGTTTGTTTTGATTCAAACTGAAAGCAGAAGACGTCGGATTCATGGAACTGAATGAAAGTTGAGTCGTACACGAGTGTTTCTGACTAGGAAGGCTGTTACGCCAGATCGAAGCTTGGCTCTGAGTCAGCCTCTCCAGCTATTAAGATGCACTCCCACCCACATCTGTCAACACCATTTCCACCAACACACTAATGAATTAAGAGGCTTAGTGGTCACCCGCCCATTACATCTTTTCTGCTTTATTGCCTGTGTTTAATGCTTCTCGTATCTTCATAACGTTATGATTTAGTGTTCCACGTGTTGTTCTGGCCCCGTTCTCTTTTCGCTCACCCCTTCTTCTCCCTCCTCAGACTCCAGACAGCCGAGTTTCCCGGAAGCGACGGGCCTCGTCTGTCTCCTCCCCTTTGGCAAAGACTCCTCGCTCTTCTTCTGGTTCCCCGGCAGCTATTGGTCGACTACGAGCCGGGAGCCAATCCTACAAGGTCCAGCTATGCACTGATTTAGTCCAAAAATATGACACGAAATGTGAATTTTAAAGGGACTATATGGAAGTCTGACAGCCAAAACATGAATAGAAATAATAAATGTCTTCTTCATACATTCTCCTGCAATGTCCTGGTCCTGTAGAATGAGCCCTGGCATGTTTACTGTGATTGCCTGTTTTTCTGTAAAATCACAGAAAAAGAGAGATGCTCGGGTCGAGCAGGCTGCTTCATGCGCGTTCACGCTCAGGCATCGCCCGTAGCATTTGCTATCAGTAGCTTTAGCAGCAGAGAGAGCGGCAGTGCCAACTCAGCGACTTTGTTGCTGTTCCTAACGCCTAGTGACAAAGCTAGCTACATTTCTGAGGACCCTTAGCTACTTTCTGTAGAACTTTCTTCTAGATATTTCCTGCAAATTAGCAACAAAATAGCCATTTTTGCTTCGAACCGTTCTTTGAACGTTGTTTCAGCTGTCATCAAGGATATAAATGTTACAGATACAAGTGATGTCACTGGCGCTTTAGCTCACCTAGTAAGACGTCTGACTCCCATGCAGAAGACCCGGGTTTGATTCTGGATGTGAACTTAGTTCATTTAGAGTTTATTTTTTACATTAATGGTATATTTTTTCATTGTAAGATGCCCAAATTTTTATTTGAGACTCGCCGAACGGCATTGAATTCACAGATAAAAAAGATGTGGGTTCAACTTTCACTTTGGAACAATTTTTCAAGCAAGGGAAGGGAATGATCTGAGCATGCAGGAGGACTGACCCATCATAAACCTTTGTTGGCTGTGCTGAAGAGAAAGGTACAGAACCAAATTATTTAATTAATTAGCTGCGTGTTCTCCTGTCCTCTGTCCTCCGGGCCACACACACACACACACACACGGGACTGTCTCAGCTGTTATTTTCGTTAAGGAGTGTGCACGTACTGCATGCGCACCTCTTGCATGAGCCTACTATTGTTGTTGCCGTTACGCTTTTGGCCTGAGGGGGTAATCGCGAGCATAAAAATTCAAAACTCCGTAAAGTCCCTTTAAGCATTTAATACCGAAATGATGGATGCAAGATTTTTGACTTGAATGCATTTTTGAGTAAATGCTGTTCTTGCACTCACTGACCTTTGCTGACATTTAAAGTCAGTTTGATCAGAATGGTCTGTCTGACGTAGAGATTTACCGAATGCCACAAAAGCATCGTTATTTGTTCTGCCATCCTCTCAGGTGCTGTTCACCGGGGTGGTGGATGAAGGCGGGGAGCGGGAGTTGGCTCGACTGGGAGGCGGCATGGCTAAAGGTGTGGCAGACATGAACTGCCTGGTGACGGATAAAGTGCGAAGAACAGTCAAATTCCTGTGCGCCGTGGCCAAAGGCGTCCCTGTCGTCACCACAGACTGGCTGGAAAAGGTTTGTTCTCCAAGCAGCTGACAAACAAATACAGAGATGCACTTTTTAAACGTGATGCACACGTCTAGACGTGGCTGAACGGACTCTCCTCTGTGTTGCAGAGCGGCAAAGCTGGAAGCTTCCTTCCTACTGACGTTTTTGTGGTGAAAGATCCCGAGCAGGAGAAGAAGTTCAGCTTCTGCCTGCAGGAGTCTCTGAGGACTGCCAGGAGTCGGCGTCTCCTGCAGGTATCTGCTCACCCCCAGTCAGTGTTGCCAGATCCAAAATCCCACAATATCGTACAGAGAGGCTTAAATTATCTTTTTTCAGTACAAATTATCGTACATTATAAATTTGATAATAACGTTCTATAAACGACTTCTCACTCCAATATAATCTAACAAAGAAGGTGTTTTATATTGCCCTGTTTAAATAAACATCTTTAAAACCAGTAATATAATGCTTGTAAACGTGCAGAGTGTGTCGGCACCACTCCCACCTCCACGCATTCACACAGTATGCACATTTGCGCAGTCCTATTTATTTCATTTCTACATAGGTTAAAAGCATGCAACAAAACCTCACAGCAGTGGAAAAACTGACCCAATAAATGACACAGCAGCCTACTCACCTAGTTGCTGATCTCGATCTCCTCATCTGATTCACTGTCTGTCACAGCAGAATGCCGTTAATCACCTGTACTAAGTGGTCTGTGCTTCTCATTGCAATGTTGTGCTCGGCTAAAAAGCCACATAGCTTGATTTCAGCGTTTTTCACATCATTTTCAAACTTCTCTTTTTCATTAGTTTGTAGGAGACATTTATAAACCTGTAAGCACTGAGGTGAAATCTGACTTCAGAACAGTTTAAAATTATGTAACTGACTTGGGAAAGCCACAGCAAAAGACGGTGTTACTAGATGCAATGTGAAACTATCGTCCATTTGAGGATTTTTGAAACTATTGATCGTACAGAGCCCAAAATTATGGTACAAATACGATAATTATCGTACATCTGGCAACACTGCCCCCAGTTGTTGCTGACGGAGTGTTGGTGCTTCGTGCAGCACGGCACTTCCTTTTGCTGAAGGCGCTGAGTCATGCTGGATCGTTACCAGTTCGAACCCAGTGTCGCTGTCCTGCCACTCTTCCTTGTTGTTGCTGTTGTAGCTTGTGGGAATTCATTTCACATGTACTGTTTATGTACCGATCACGTCGTACGTATTACATTTCCGTGTCTGGGCAGTTTCGTCGGAGGATAACTTGATCCACGTGTGATGCTGACGTCTGGCTAAAATTAGGGAGCACATCTGACCAAACTCCATCCCTGAGAGCATTTTATTGATTTTTTTTCCCTTCTCATGTAGGGCCTAAATAAAAGTAGCAACTAATCATTACTGTATTTGCTAACAAGTATGTGCAATGCCTCATCTTTCATTTAGGGGTATGAGATCCACGTGACAAAGTCGGTAAAGCCAGAGCCAGTTCACATGAAAGACATCCTTTCCTGCAGCGGAGCTACCTTTCTGTCAAAGATGCCCTCGTCTCACAAGGTGCCGGTCCGGCTCTGAGCTTCTCTCTCGTCTTATTCCGTCGCTCCAGCTCACGTCTCTTCTGTCCCGTGTGTCTCTCTCAGCCGCAGACCGTGGTGATTTCCTGCGAGGAGGACTGGCGACTGTGTGGCCCCGCCGTGTCTGCGTCGCTCCCTGTCGTCAGCACCGAGTTCATCCTCACAGGGATCCTGCAGCAGAAACTCGATTTTCACACTCACGCACTTTCGCCCAGTTCTGCAGCTAACTCGCAGCCTGCAGGGGACAGAGGAAGAACCAGGAGGAAGACTTAGGCCCAACATGTCCGTGTAGATTACAATTACAGACCAATGGAAGCACTAGAGTTAGCTGTTTGTGGCTTTAAGAATGTATTAGCAACACACCTTCAAGCATTTCTTTTAGCAGTCAAGTGTTTAAAAGTATTTATAGTCCGACAGCGAACAGATTCTTACCACATTCCTGTCTTTTACCTTTTATAACTAAGCCCAACGTGGAGTTTCTGGTTCTCAGGCAGGTTTAATTTACACTTTCTCCGTGCCTTGTCTCAGTTCTCCACTTTGACAGTTACCAATCATGATGTTTAGCCGAGATCAATCATGTCCGTGTGGTAGGAGCAGTTGCACGGAGGAGGTCTGTATTGAAATCAATCAGCTGCAGCGATCAGTAGATTCCACAAGCCTGTTTCCTGTCCTGATGAAAAGTGCAAAGTGCCTTTTATACCGAGATGGTCATGAACTCGCTGGTGTGTCAGTTGCTCCTTTCTCCATTAGGCAGCTCCACTCCATTAAGGCTGTGTTCCAACTCTCTGCCTGGAGGGAGAGTTCCACACCATATCTGACTGCTGATGCTGCTTCAACATCAAGATTTCATCCCATCGGTCCATTACGAGGGTTGATTTGCGGCGTGTTGTGTGAAAGTCGACCTGCTGACAGGCGTGGTGTAAGGGTTTTGTTGTGAAAGCATCTTCTGCATCATTACTCTGGAAAACATTAGTTTGTACTTTTGGGACTGTTCCCAGACTTGAGTCAACACGACTAATAAAATTATGAAAATGTTTTCTGTTGACTGCGTCTGTCTTCGGTTGCACCACATATTTGGATGCTTTGATGTTTGACTGCATATTGACTTCTAATATTCGTAATCCAGTTTGTTGGACCTGCTCACTTGGACAGCCAGTGTCCCGATCCCACAGCGTGACCAGCCTTAGGTGATGGTCCTGGTGGAGCTAGACTTTCCTGAAGCCCTTGTCACAAATGCAGTAGACATTTTTATTTATTTTACTAAAGTTGGGGTGTTTTTCAATGTCAAGGAACCTTGCCTTGATGTCTTGGCCCCGCCCCGGTTGCCTAGGAGATACGTAATCAGGAGCCGCCAAGACATGTTCCAATCGGTTCCAATGTGCCTGTTCTACCGAGGCGTGTGTTCTCCGTTTGTTAGCCGTTTAGCTAGCTGAGCAAGGACACGCGGGAAGCGCCTTTTGGAATTCTAGGGTGACCCAAGGAAGGTCCCGCCTTTCTCGCCTCTGATTGGCTAGATGGGCTCTACTACGATTGACTATTTTATTTAGCAGCAAACCGTCTGCAGACTGTCCTCTAGCCACCAACAGAACAGCTGTTTTGGGGATTTTTTAAATATATTTTTTTAGAAAATAAGAACTTACCGCAATTCTCTCCTGTTTTGCAAAAGTTTTTTGTTTCATTTATTAAAAACTGAAAAACGTAAGAAGTGAACTTATAAATCTTGTTGCATTTATCACACTGTGGGAACTTATGTTTATGGCTCTAAATCATTGAGGTTATCTTATTACAGCAGAGTACATAGGATAAACGTGTGTGCCTTACCTGGGTATGAAATATAACAAAACTGCCCTATTTTACCCAGCTGTGTGCAGCAGGTCTGTTTCTCTTCTAGAATAACGAAAACTGCTGAAAAATAGGTCAAAATCATAATCAGCTTTGAATTAGTTTCAATTAAAGATACAGATTTATACACATGAAAGATGTGTCCTCACTTTCATCCTGCTTGCTTAACAGCCTCAGCCTATGAAAGTATTTCCAAATTGTTATCAAAAGGCATGATCATGAAAATACACCACACCGATTACATCACAGATTTTATTGAACAAGTACAGAACGTGTGTGTGTGTGTGTGTGTGTGTGTGTGTGTGTGTATATAAGTATATTGAACTGGCAGCTATGTCATCAGCAAACAACAGATTAGATGAACATTTGAGGGCATACCTATTATTTTTAACGTGGCTTTTGAAAAGCTAATGTTAGCTTTCTCACAAAGACATATTTACCTCTGCTCAGATATCCACATCAGTTGCTTTGCTTGCTTAGCTCTCAAGCAAGCGAAGGCCGCTGTTGTCTGGCGCCCCCCGAGAAATTTCAGCCAATCAGTAGAGCCCATCTAGCCAATCAGAAGCGAGAAAGGCGGGATCCTTCCAACATCAAGAGCTTTTGAGGGTCACCGTTTATCATTTGCTTATATTTTACATTTATTTTAGAAATTCAAACATTTTCTCCAAAAAGTGTTGATTTTTAGACTACAGGACTACAGAGAGTGCAGAATTATTAGGCAAATGAGTATTTTGTCCACACCATCCTCTTCGTGCATGTTGTCTTACTCCAAGCTGTATAGGCTCGAAAGCCTACTACCAATTAAGCATATTAGGTGATGTGCATCTCTGTAATGAGAAGGGGTGTGGTCTAATGACATCAACACCCTATATCAGGTGTGCATAATTATTAGGCAACTTCCTTTCCTTTGGCAAAATGGGTCAAAAGAAGGACTTGACAGGCTCAGAAAAGTCAAAAATAGTGAGATATCTTGCAGAGGGATGCATCAGTCTTAAAATTGCAAAGCTTCTGAAGCGTGATCATCGAACAATCAAGTGTTTCATTCAAAATAGTAAACAGGGTCGCAAGAAGCGTGTGGACAAACCAAGGCGCAAAATAACTGCCCATGAACTGAGAAAATTCAAGCGTGCAGCTGCCAAGATGCCACTTGCCACCAGTTTGGCCATATTTCAGAGCTGCAACATCACTGGAGTGCCCAAAAGCACAAGGTGTGCAATACTCAGAGACATGGCCAAGGTAAGAAAGGCTGAAAGACGACCACCACTGAACAAGACACACAAGCTGAAACGTCAAGACTGGTCCAAGAAATATCTCAAGACTGATTTTTCTAAGGTTTTATGGACTGGTGAAATGAGAGTGAGTCTTGATGGGCCCGTGGCTGGATTGGTAAAGGGCAGAGAGCTCCAGTCCGACTCAGATGCCAGCAAGGTGAAGGTTGAGTACTGGTTTGGGCTGGTATCATCAAAGATGAGCTTGTGGGGCCTTTTCGGCTTGAGGATGGAGTCAAGCAGACACGTGTAGTCAATAGTTTAGCACTTTAGTGTATTTTAGTTAAAATTTAAATTTTCTGCCTAAAACTGTCAGCGTTGTGCCGTTGTCGGGTAAAAACTGCACTGCATTTGAATTTAAATCCGCCCTCACTATTGGCTAAGAGGTACCGTAGAACGTTAGCTGGTACCATATGATGTCACAATGTCGTTGTGAGCCTCTGTATTTGTTAGCGGCTCCGTCCTCTCGCTCTGCTAGGTAACAGCATTTGTTGCATTTTCAAACAGGAATGTGGGAGTGGAGTAATACTCTGGTAGGGGGTGACTTGCTCTTTAATATCTTATTGTTGCTGCTGCTGCTAGAGTTTAACATGAACCCAGAGAACCGAGCACATCACTCCTGTTCTCTACACTGGTTACTAAACTACAAAATCGATTTCAAAGAGCTTCTACTTGTTTATAAATCACTCAGTGGCACGGGGCTAAATGCATGTTGGATCTCCTTCCTGTATATACCCCAGCGGCAGGGCTCTGAGATCCATAGGAAGCAGTTAGCTGCAGAACAACGGGTCAGAACCAAACAGGGGTGAAGCTGCTTTAGCTAACAGATGGAATCAGCTTCCTCGTGACCTCAAATGTGTCCCGATTCTAACTTTAAAATCAAAATGGAAAGCTTTCATGTTCATCAGCATTTGAATGAATGTTTCTTATGCTGCACCCTTTAACTTCGCCTTTTGACCTTATTCTTACATCTAATGAGAACGTGTAATGTTCTTGCTGTTCTTGTTCCTGCAGCACATTGAATTGCATCTGTGTGAAATGTATGCAAATACATCTGCCATGCCTTGATATAATAAACGTTTTGTCTCACTAAATTAAAAGAGAAAAACGATGCTGAACGTTTTAAAAATTTAAATTAAAAAAGAAAAAAGTAGAAATGAGCTGGCACTCAGAATTTGGAGAGCGTTTGTGTCTGATCTGTGCATGGATGCTGAATGATGACCATCTCGGTCTTCCAGGGGGTCCGAGGCTGTCCCGGTGTTTACCGACACCAGTCGAGTGGCTCCGAGAGCCGAACCCGACATGTTCCGCTCCTCTTCGTCGTGTTGGAGCGGTGAAGTGCGAGTCTGGAGGGGGGCGACGCTGAGTCTGAGGGGGAGGGACACAACGAGGCAGATCGCCTCTCCTGCATCCCGACATCCTCCCACTGACCGCAGCGCCTCTCCAAGCCAGCTGCAGCAGGTAGGTGAGCCGCGGAGCTGAGATTTATTTATTTGTCGCCTTCCTCCTGCGGAACATACGTGTGCGCGTGACTCGTCTGGCGCGCGACGGGTTAAATTCTGCAGTTTTCTGGGTCTGACGCGCCTGTCCCGGCTCGGATGTGACCGATCGGTACTTTCAGTCGCCAGGTTCATCAGCACCGAGAGGAAAAGGTGTGAAATCCAAGACTTTTTAAAGGCTTAAGAAGGCCTATTCTCTTTAAATCTTCAAATAATTTAAGCGCAACATAAGTTAAATTAAAATATCTGAATTAGTCTTAATAAAAAGAAAAATATTCATGTTAACGTCTCTATTTGACCTCATTTTAATTCCCCTGAGGTTAGAAAGATGTAGTGTAAATGCTGACCTGGGGTGTGTCCTCCCCTGCAGAGTCCTGCATGGCCTAAGCAACACTAGAAGTCCTTCTGTCTGCAGAAAGAAATTCTGTTTGTTTGTTGCACATCGCTCCACTGAGCCCCATCCTCACTCCCCCCCCCTCCTGTCCATTGATTTGAATGGATCTGGCAGGTGCAAGCAATATGGTGGAAACATGTCTCATCCTTTAGTTCACGTCAGCGGGCTGAGTGAGGAAAAGGGTCGTCAGCTACAGGCTTCATCTAAAGAATAAACTCAACAAATGACGGGTTTGTTCAGATGAGGTGGAAGTGCAGAAGTGATCCAACTTTTAAAATTTTCCAGCAAATCAGAATTTTGGTTGTGTTTTGAGGTGATATTCCCACGCTTGTCCCCCTTTTCTGTTTCTGTGCTTCGTGATTTATAAATGAGAACAGCATGTGCTCCCTTCTTCACACCTTAGCGGGGATTTGACCTCATGCCCCCCACCTTGCATACAGGAAAGCGTTAAAGTAAAAACAAAAGAGAGATGATGAAGGGACAGAGTTTGCTTTGTATGTTCCCCCACATCTGCAGCCATTGAAGGAATTTCCGCCTCTCTGAAGGCCGGGTGGGACAAAGACCTGCCTGTCCCGTTCAGCGTGCGGCGAGTTTGGAGATTGAGGTGAACACAGGCCCGGGCTTTGATTTCAGAGTGGGATGCACTTGCTTGGATTGTGTATATTAAGGAGGAGTGGATGAAAGAGATGCAACAAAGAGGGAGATGAGAGTGAGGGAGGAGTGAGTCTTAATGAGAGAAATTGTGAGGAGGAAAAAAAATGCGGAAAACAGGTTTTAACAGGGAATTTTAGAGATAGGAATTATGAAAAAAGTGGAAGAAAAAGGAAATAAAAACAAGTCTTGGGCTCTTTTGTGATTTCACCTTAGGTCAACGTGGACATATTATGCAAAACTCATCTTTTGCATTCTTATGTGCTGCCATGGGACTCTGCTGACTCTATGAACACTTCAAACATTAAAAACTATGGTTTTATGATTTGTTGGCCCAAAACAAGCCGTTTAAATATGTCCCCATTTGTGATGTCACAAAAGGGAAATTAGCATAGCGTATGCAAAGAAGATCTGCTGGAGGCACAGACAGCAGCTATACCCTGAGCTCCTCCCCGATATCGGAGCTTCTCAGCTTATAGCAACCTGAGCGGGGTATGGGTGGGTGTGGCCAAGTCCAACTTATATTTTAAATTAAAGGTATGCCGGAGGATGTTTCTGAATTTCAGGTAGCAACCGCTCTCTCCACGTTTTGAATTAAATTCACATTCTGTTCACAAGTAGCTGTTGGCCTTGCAGCACTTCTCCTGGCAGTGATGTGAAATGAATTTTCTCCAAATAGCATACCAAACTTTAGCTTACCTGTCAAGCAGAAAACCGGCGACAGAGGCATCTGTGGGGGCCCAACCTTCACTTTCAGCGCATGCCATCATTGAAAAGAGTCTCCTAAAAAACTCTTGTCATATTTCTCACTTCGGAGGCCTTTCTCGTCTTATCATGTACTTCAAAGACCCTTTTTCCTATGCGACTCTCAAAAGAACCTGGAACCTGGTGAGAGCGGCGAGGAATGAAGGCGTATCGCTCTGCACACAAGCAGAATGTGCAGGAAGTGAAAATTAACCCAGAAACGAGCACGCACGGCGACAGCCTTGCGTGAACGCTTCACCAGAATGATTGACAGGTATGTGGACCAATGATTCAGATGATCAACCCAGAAGAAAAAGATCCTCTGCTGTACCTTTAACAGAGCCCTGACGCTTGCTATGTTCGGCCACGGACCAGGAAGTGGCACCGTCTTGTCAGCTTTCTGTGTCCTCCGGCAGAACTGATGTCTCACTATGACTACGCTAACTTTTGATGCAAATGGCAGTTCCAGCGCCACCATAGCTGCGTTACAGGTAGTACCAGAGTTGGGCAGGGTGTAACAAAAGCATTTTCCCTCAAAGGAGGTCTTATCTGCATAGAGACGATGTTGGGATGAGGCAGCTTGTTTCATATAGGATGAAATCAGTCTGGCCAAGTATTACCAGTAGCAGGAATTGTGGTGAAGTAGTTCTCAAACATTCTCTACCAGGTGGAAAAGGAATCGACAAGTTCTCCACTACACAGCTAGCCTAGTGAACTAGACCAAATTCTTGCTTTGCAAAGTTTGGTCTAGGCATGCTCCATTGGAACCTCAGCAGCTCCTAACAGGACTCTGGCTAGCCAATCACAGCTCTCTAGAGGGGTTTCAAACACATAAAGAGCTGTGATTGGTCCATAATGGTGGGCCAATCATGCTCTATCTGCTCAGTGAACAAATCACAGAGCTTTATCCGCTTTGTGGGCCAATCAGGGCACTCTATATGCCTGGTGGGTGGGATGATGCAACAGAGTGAAACAAGAGTATGTCACATTCATTATCCAGTGGAATGCGGAGATCATTTGAAAGACAACGGTAGAACCCGCCCCACAACCGAGAGCCGTCAATGGAGCATGGCCAGACTAAATAATACATTTATTTAGTCTGGCTTGCCAGGCTACTACACAGCAGGACAGGTGCAGACATGTGAAACCCGAGTCGCTGTCGCTGATCGTAACGGTCGGCTGTTGCATCGGGAAGTAGCATGAGTAAGCAGAATTCGTTTTTCAAGCTTTATTCAAATCTGCGTCCATGTGCAGTTTATCAGGCATCCATCTTAACTTCTCCTCTGCCTACTTCTCTTATCCCCTACTGTCCCCTAGTGGTAGACACAGCACAGCTCATTCTGGAAGGTACTGAAAATGTCACGAATAAAACTTTTTATATGAAAGGGAGTTAGTGCAAAGGGCTTCATTAATGTGTTTCATTTCAATCATAGAACTATTATAACTTATGAAAAAAGGTCATAAGATGTCCCCTTTAACATTTTTGCATTCTCATCTTTTTTTGCCTGATGAATTTTGCTCAGAAACACCAGATTGTGAATGAGGCCAAACGCTGCGACAAACAGATGGACTCCGTCCCCCTCTCTCCTCCATCTTCCTGCACCTCAGATCACTGCATTAGTTAAATGTCGGTCTCTACGTGGGTCAGAAATCAGCCCTTTTTCTTCTCTTTTCCAAGTCAGATGCAACAATTGCTGCCTGATCCAGCAGCTTTAGGAGGGACTAAACAGAGATGCTGTGTGAATAAAAAGCAAAGGAGGTCTTATCTGCAAAGAGACGATGTTGGGATGAGGCAGCTTGTTTCAGATAGGATGAAATCAGTGGGCTTTTAGGCTCTCTGCCCAGAGCGCAGCGATGGGGTGTGAAACAACAGTTCTTACTGTCACATTGTAACATAGAAAGGCAAGATTTTCCTCATTAAATAACAGTTAACAACAAAATTCTGTTTGCTGCTTTTCTGGAAATCTGTCGCAATCAGATGTCGCAGACATTAAAAGAGGGAGGCAGAGGCTCACAAAGAGTCATAAAAATGCTTCATCATATCCAGCCGGGTTGGGATGCTTTATGACGTCTTTCTCCCGTGTCGCACGGAGACATTTTAATCTTTACCGCATCGTGTGGCTGCAAGCACTGCAGGTGTTACCTCCCAGTCCCCTCCTGGGCTTTGCAAGGGACAACTGCAGCAAAAATCTCCTCGGTACAAACACACTTCATGTTGCTTTTGCCTCAGATGCCTCTGCAGCATCATCACAATCCCTCTTCAGGGGGCTTCAGCTAAATTCTCCCAGAGCAAACACGCTGCTCTTTCCAGACGCTTTCTGTTTTAAATTCAGCTGAGTCATCGCAACGGACCCCGTGACTTTCTGGTTTACCTTGAGGTTTATGGATTATTCTGTGTTTAGGAGTAGAGATACAGGATAAATAAATGGTGCATGATGACAAGCCGGGGCCAGATGGCTCTCATAAACATGCGCACGGTCTTTCGAGATTACGATCCGTGACGTGAAAAAGGCTTTCTCATCACAACACGCTGCTGTTGACCAGCAACCACTTTAATGTCAGGTTTTTAATTTGCAGACGGTAAATTTCCCTGCAGATAGATTGGATATCTAAAGGATTGTGGCTCTAACTTCCAGTCTTTTATTTCCAGGCTTTTGCTGCTTTGATGCTGCAGAGTCTGCCTTTGACTGACTGCCACTCTTCTTCAGTGCTTTCATGTAGCCCCGGCTCTTTGATGCACACACCCTGATTAGGGGCGGTCCTTGGAGGGAGGCGGGGCTGCTCTGTTAGAAAGGCCCGTTTGTAAGAAAACATTACAAACATACCTGTACGTATTTCTAATTTTACTGAATAATTGCAACACTGTAATAAACCAAACCCATCACAGACCAAGGTGAGACAGGTTGGGCGCCTACTGATGTGAAAGTGTAAAAAACAAACAAAATTAAAGAGCAAGTCGCCTCCTACCAGAGTCTTAAGCCTGGTTCATGCTTCTCCGTCAGCTCCACAAGGGACAGACACGCACGGATTGACGGAAGCGTTTTGCTCTCATACTTCTCCGTCTCCTGGAGAGTGTTGCAAAGCAATTGCCCGGCAGGACAACAGAGGGCGTAGCGCTGTTCTGTGGTATCCTGTCATGTATCGGTCCAAGATCGTTTGTTTATATTGTGTTT